TTTCAGGGGAAGGCTCCCGACTTCCGGCCGCCTCAGTACCAGTAGCAGGACAAGAAGATGAAAAACCCACCCCTTTCGATGAATACGACAGCATCCGAGCAGATTTCCAAGAAGAAGCCGAACCAGAGCAGCATGAAGCCGCTTCCCTACCGGCTCACGCCAACCGAGCTGCCAAAACTTTCAGGCAGCACTGATCCAAAAAAGTTCTTGTTTTAAGAAAAACTCCCAAAAAATTTTCCAGTGCAAATTATTAGTTGTGAATTATTCAAGGTGTCTGTAAATACAAGCATAATAAACGTTCCGGTCTTGTTCTGACACCGTGTCATTGATTAGTAAGCGCTGAACAAAACAAGAAAAATATTTATGTGGCCGAATCTTCCAATCGCAGACGGTTACATGTCGATGATGCCGTGCCAAAGTATGATTCTAAAGGCCATTTTAGGTTTCATAAAAATGGCATCACCTCATAGGGTTAATGCTTTTTGCTCTGATAAACTGTTTCTGCACCAGTAAACTGCACAGATCGCTGCTGACGCCCACCGGAGAAGATTCCGCCAAACTGCAAAGGTATAAAGACGGTCTAGAAAAATGTTCGCGACGACGATGTTGCGGCCTAACCATCGTAACTAGTAAAACTTACCACACCAATGGCTCGATCAGCCAGCTTGTCGATGAGTACGTCCGACTTCTCCTCGAACTTCTTACCGAACTATAAAAAAAATAATGTATATAATTTGAAGCAGTTAAACCTTCTTGAATAAGTTAACGATATCGTTACAGACCACCGGTGAGGCCAGCGCCACCAGGAAGATTAGGAGAAGGAGCTTCATCTGCAGAGTTTCTGTAATTTTGAGGAATTTAAACAAATTTTATGAGAAAGAGGTTGTCAAACCTCCATCGTAGTTCAGAAAGCTGCCTTCGTGGTTTTTGCAAGAGTTTTTATATACAGTTTCCCTGTAAACTCTTTGGAAAGGCTGGATAAATTTATCAACAATTCACTCAAATATTTGTAAATCTCGAAAACACAAACATCGGTGCGGCCCTAGTGAGGTGTAATCTATTCGACGCCCACGCACAGATCGAATTTCAAGAATTGTGTGGTTACCGTGTCAGGAAGTGCTAATTGACCTTTTAAATAAATCGACGCCCCCGTAAAAACTACGTGTCCCCGGTTTATAAACTACACGCGGTACGCAAAGTGCGAAAACGAGCCTACGTGCTAGGACGCCCAGCTCACAACGATCAGAACGCTCACATGAGCACCTACGCATACAACTGGGCTCAAGCCCAAGCCCATGCTTACTTTGCTAGTCAGGACCGCGAGAGAAACTACAGGACAAAACTTGCAAAAAATTACCGAGCGTGATTAAAGACCTAATTCCTAGCAATCGTAAATACTTTGATGCGTACAGTTTCGTTCTATTCTGATTTTTTAACGGCATAAAACGTAGTGCGATGCGGTCGAGGGATATTGTTTTTGATCCGGCGCTACCGTGAATCATCAGAATAGCATTGATAACTGCATTGATACGTTTCTCTCGAGGAAACAAAGCAAAGTTTTATTGATACAAAATCTTTAGAAGGCCGGGATTTTGAGGTATTTAAAGTTCAAATCATTGATTCCTTTCCTCAATCGTCAATTCTTTCCTTGCGCGTCGTTGTTTGCCTAAAGCCGAGAAGAATTAAAGGCGAGAGAATGAATAAAAACTAATTAAAAATGCTGGATAACCCACGTTGGCATGATTGAATTGAATAGAACGTCGCTTACGGCCACCAACAATTAGCTCGCCAACCTGAGTTGTTTTTAGAATCCAAAAATTTCGAGCCTTACAGCAGCGACTGCCCCGTTGACCACTTTGTCAATAAGTACGTCTTGTTTCTCCTCAAACTTCTGACCAATCTATAAATAGGGTTTATTTAATTCGTAGACCAAGATACCTTGCGCAATATATCAACGAGGTCGTTGCAAAACGCGGGCGAGACCAATGCCAAGAAGACGATTAAGAAAAACAGCTTCATGATCTTATTTTCTGAAAATTGAAGATTAAACAAAACGCTAAATTAAATTTTTCGCGAAACGTCAAATTTAAACGCTTAAAAAATTTAACGTTTAAAATTTATTTTAAAGTTTCATGAATCGGTAAGACTGATATTTAGCAACGACAATCTTTGTGACGCTTTTTAAAGTGTCGCTATGTGAAAAACGATACGATTTTCCTGTTGGGAAAGTGATCTTCTGAACTTTCGAACGGTATAAAAGGTACTCGAATCGGCTAAGCGCTACAGTATTTAGGCCGGCTCAACGGTGAGTCATGAAAAACGGTTTGCATCGCTGCCAGGTTTGCAGGCTGTGGAACACGATGCCTCATCGTTGAGCCGGATTCCCAATTAGCCGACCCGAATTATAACATTCAATAGGTACATTTCCCAGCAAACGTTTAATTTTTGGTTTTATTAAGCTTTTTTTCAGGTATAGCGATGCCTTTTCAGTGACACTCGGGTAATGATTTACCCATGGGAACCCAGAAAAACCCACGTTTACCCGTGGGTACCCGCGAAAACCCACAGATACCCATGTTTTACCCATGGGAACCCGCAACCCGTGTTTACCCATGGGAACCCACGGTTTACCCATGGGTACCCATGGGTAAATCTCGGGGGGGAGAGAACCCATGGGAACCCATGTTTTACCCATGGGAACCCATGGGTTCCCATGGGTAAAAACGTGCATAGTACTGTCACGATCACATCCTACTTTTCAGAAATTTTCTCCCAAGTTTTCATTTTATTTTGTTTTTCTAACTTTGTCACCGAATAAACTTTTAGATCCATAAGAACTGATAAATACTTGGAGTAGGTAAGTTTGCTAAACGTACTATAGGTTTTTAAATGATGATTGACCTTGACGCAACGATGTTTTTCTGATCGATCTAATTTTTTTAGACGTATTGTAGTGCTTATTTATGTCTTTTTCAAGAAGAAATAGGTACTTCACCATCAACTACGCGGGTTTTGTAAGTATACCCTCTGTTTCCTATATACGTTCGAAATTTCAGGGTACACTTACTTGCTACAAAGAATAGGTTGGATGGTGAGTAGGATTACAACTTTTCTTTCTTTCTTTAGGTACTGAACCGCGATGTGTTTTTATGAGGGGATTCGTCTACTATAAAGGCCGTGCAAGGACAAAAACGAAAAGTAAGTATGTTTTTGAGCTCCTTGAGCAGTAAACGGATACTTTCTAGGTTCTATGCCTAAATCACGGACTGCTCTACACGCCCATCGACTGCTTCCAATCGATTAACCGTAGGTTCATCAAAAAAGCAGCAGCCCTGAAGCTATGAAAATGACAAAGCCAAAAAGGTGGCTATTTTAGTTATTGCCGATGCTCCCGTCTCGATCTACATGAGGGTCACAACTCAGCGTCGGACTGCCAAACAATTGCCTTTTGAAAGCACCACCTTATTAGTGAAAAGCAAAGTAAAATAAAAGTAAAGTGTAAACTACAAGCACCTCCTGTCTAGTAATTTACCCATGGGAACCCACGATCTACCCATGGGTACCCAGAGAAACCCGCGATTTACCCATGGGAACCCATGGAAACCCACGTCTTACCCATGGGAACCCATGGGTTCCCACGGGTAAATCGTGGGTTTACCCATGGGTAAATCGTGGGTTCCCATGGGTAAATCATTAGCCGAGCAGAAAAATTTTTATTGGCAAAATTGCACAGCAGCTTGAGGAACTTGAGAACTTAAAATTGAGGTATTTATTGCCGATCCTTTCCCTGTATGTAGTCGCCAGCCTAAAATATATTAACAGCAAAAGGCAGATAAAAATATAAAAAAATTACATTTGAAACAGCCCGTCCGACTCCAGGAACCGCCTTTTCTTGGACCCATTTGTTTGTCTATAATGGTAGGTTAAATAGCTCACTTTCAAGGTTTTTACGTAGGCTTTAAAATTATGATTACGGATTCTAAATCGTATTCAACAAATAGCAATACACAAAAAAATCTCGAAAAACTTACATCCTTAGCCGCACCCAGAACAGCCGGCGCTCCCTTTGTCTCAACCCAAACTTTGGCCTAGAAAAAGTTTATAGAACGTAATAGCTTATAGATTAACTTTCTCGGACAAGAAGACAAATAGACAGACAGACGGCCCAATTCATTATAAACTCGCTATTGAAGCCAACCAAAACTCACGTCACTACCGGCTTTCCCGATCGAAGGTATCGCTTCCTTCTCAACCCACTCGCCGGTCTGGAATCGGGATTCCATATAATTTCTAAACAAATTTCTACCTTTTTAAGGCCAGCGGCAATATCATCAAAAACTCCAGCGGAAGTTAGAGGCACCAGGATGGCGAGGATGATGAGTTTCATCCTGTGGGGTTTGCTAAAAACGTGGTTTGCAAAAATGCTAATGACCGATACGGAAATCCCTTACCCGGGAGAAAGACGAAAAACTAGAAAGAACTGCCGGGTTGAGTTTAATTTATAGAAGGTGGGGTGGTGTTTACGACGTTCGCCGAAAGTCATCACCAGGCACCAAACCGTTCGACCAAAATTACAATCAAGGGTATCAACGAGTATCGGATTTCCGGGAAGTTCATATTGCCGTTTACAGGAAGTGCCTCAGATGCTCCGACGGTGGGAAGGGGGTGGGGGAATTGACATCCATCCGCGATTCAGAAAGTACAGACAGTATGCGTTAAAGCGGCCGGAAACGAAAACTTACCCAATCATTTATATGAACCTCCGGTACTGTCGTGCCCGGAGACGAAACAGTTTTATTGTCTGTTTATCCATCGCTTGTAAGGCATAGCTAAAGGAGTCGGTTGATTCTTAACGTAAGTTTCCTGCCTTGCAGTATAAATGGGTCTATTTCTTTCGCAGCGCCTTTTTATATATTCATGCTAGTCCTAATTAAATAACTTTATTCATAAAAACTCGCAAGGTACAAAGCATTTTTCAAATTCAAAGCCCGAATCATCTATTTCCGGTCCTTGCCCTGGATGAAATCGCCGGCATCAGAAGCCGCCTTTCCCACAGCAGGAACACCCGTGTCGCGCACCCAGTCATGAGTCTAAAAATGTGGAGTTTTGTGAATTTTTGGGACTCACGTCAGAAGCCGCGGATTTCACAGCGGGCACAGCCTTGTCGTTGATCCAATCGCCCGTCTAAATTGTTTGAAAGTTATTTTAAACATAAGCAATCCTCACATCACTGGCAGCAGTCTTCACGGCTGGCACGGCTTTTTCATGCACCCAATCACCCGTCTAAAAACAAATATAAGAACGTTTAAATGATTTGCTATTTAAAATAGCCGGGAATGGTTCAAAATTCGTCGACATGTAAGAATTTTCGTATAACTCACATCACTAGCAGCTTCCTTGACAGCAGGCGCTGCTTTGTTCTGCACCCAGTCTCCAGCCTACAAAAAAAAAGAATTTTGTCTGAATTTTATATTTATTTATACTGATTTGAATCCATCGGCAATATCATCGAAAAATCCTGCTGAGGCCAGGGACACCAGGGCAGCTAAGATCAGGACCTTCATTTCCTGGAGTTTGCTGGAAATAGCCAGATTACATCGTACGATCGCCACTGGCCTTTATAGGAAAAAACTGATGTTGAAAAATATGACAATAGGCAAATATAAAAAAGGTGTTAGTACGAGGATAAACGGAAAATTTCATGGCCCATGAAATTATGGAAACCAGTAAAAAAATTTCAAGGAACAGGTATATAAAGAGCGGCAGGAAAGCTTTAGCTTGAAGCCATGCCAAACGGTGATCTACAGGTTTCGTTTTGATACGTCACATGGCCGCATGTTTAGTGTCCATGTGTCCAAAAGAAGGATGAGAGAAACCATTAAGTGACATCGTCTATGATAGCCAACCTTCCAGGTGACAGCCAAAAGCTTATAATCGATGAGCAACGATGAATCACACCCAACACCGCGAGAAAAAATCGTAATTAGCGAATGGGGGAAACGGAAAACTGGGCTTCCGGGATGGAGGGCGTGGAGGAAAAGTGGGACTGCTTTGTTTATGGTTCCCTAGAGATGCCGGCTCAAAGCTCGTAGCGTTCCATCATCATCATAGCTATGATCCGAGGTTCCGAGGAACCAGTGTCGAATTACGTGGGAATTCCAGGGGCATTGCTTGTGAGACGCGAGTTTTCCCACACTGTTTTAAGGGGGGAAATCAAATAGAGGGTGATTGCGAAATGGGAGGAGGTAGCTGTTTTTTTTAAATTATTTTGTAGCGAGAAAGGAATGACTCACGATTGAGTCTCAGGAAATCAAAGCAAGGCATACTAGCAAGGTTCCTTTAGGAAAATCTTGATTTCTGAGCCGAATCAGCGTGCGAAATAATAATCGCAAAATCTTGTAAGAAAGGACGGCCAGTGCAGCCCAGATCCTGTAAGAATTCAAAAGTTAGAGAAAGAGAGCCAGAGCGAGAGAGAGAGAGAGAGAGAGAGAGAGAGAGAGAGACAGAGAGAGAGAGAGAGACCCTGACCATCCAAGGTATGTTTAGAGGTGCACTGTAGCTTGGTCAAAAAGAAGAGAGAGTGAGTGAGAGACCGAGAGTGAGCGAGAGAGAGCGAGAAAGATATAGTGAGAGATAAGGATACAGATAGGGATCCGGTATATCCGGACCAGGTAAAAAATGTTAGAGGTTTACTGTAGCTTGGTCAAAGAGAAGAGAGAGAGAGAGAGAGAGAGAGAGAGAGAGAGAGAGAGAGAGAGAGACAGAGAGAGGGGGGGGAGAGCACGCGCGCGCAAGGTAGAGCCAAATAATTTGAAGCGTTTTTGGTAGGTAGCAAACCTCTTATCAGTCTGCGATTATGCAAATTAGACCCAACCCTGTTGGGTCCTTATCAAACCCAACAACGTCTTTGACCCAATTTACCCATCAAAAATCAGGCCGCAAATGTCATTAGAAGCAAATAAGTGGGAAATCACCGAATTCTGAAGACCTTAATCCAATCAAATGTGATCGATGTGCTGCAGAACTATCGTCAATCGGGCTTCATAAAACCTGATTCACGGCGGGGGTCCTGTTTGCCCCCCGTGGACCCACACCACTCCTCCCCCAGGTTTTATTATTGTATCGAAGAATGGGCCGTGTTTACACCCAGAATCAGCGTGCAGCTTGTGACATGTAAAATAAAAAAGTATAAAAATATTTATTCCAGGTTTTATACGACCTGCTTGACCGTGTTGACGCCGTTGTTCACCTCCTGGAATTGTGGAAATTACACAAATTTGTTTGCAGCCTAAGTTTAGGATAATCCTGAGCGGAAGCCGAAGCCGAAGCCTGAGTCTGAGCTTGAGCCTTACAAGGAGTCGTTTTTAGGTGATATTGGAGTTTTTGAACGAGACCTAGCCAGTTCGATAGAGAAAAAAATTCTGAACAAGATGTCGTTTTCCAAATCTGCTAACCGTGTATTGTATTCAATAAAAATTAATTTTAATGAAAAAATTCCTGGACGTCAGGCTGCGACGCATGGATCAGGCCCGGGACATAGCCCATAGCGCGATCCAGCATCCGCATGAGATCGTGGCCTAGTGGATAGTGCCGGCGCCTATCAAACTTTTGCAAAATTATGCCCAGGGTTCGGAACTTATTGTGATTTATTGTTTTGCTTTTTGGTTTTTCAGGCCATTGAAATCGAATTTGGCATTATCGAGCAAAAAGCAAAAGAGTTTTACTAGCTAGGAGTCGAACCCGCTGGCAAAAAAAGACAAAAACTTATGAAGCAAGCGCACTACCAATAGGCCAGCTGGTCATGGCTGGAGGGAGGCCTAAAGGGGCTATGTTGACGCGCACCCAAAGAGCAGAATCTGCGGATCAGCGGAAAATGATGTTTAGATTAATGATTTTCAAATTAATTTTTATTGCACAGCGTACACGGTTAGCAGATTTGGAAAACGACATCTTGTTCAGAATTTTTTTCTCCATCGAACTGGCTAGGTCTCGTTCAAAAACTCCAATATCACCTAAAAACGACTCCTTGTTAGCCTGAGCCTGTGCCTGAGCCTGGGCCTAAACCTAAGCCAAGCCCAACCCACGATCAAAGCCTAAGCCGAAGCCGAGGCCCATCTTAAGCTTAACCCTAAGCCGGGCTCGCTCTCACCTGGCCAACCGCCTGCCCGGCCTGCTCGAACCAGTTGCTCGTCTACAAACATGGATACGATTAAGCCTATAAAAAAGCTATTTACATCATTCCAGGCGCCCTTCACGGCCGGCATTCCCTGGTTTTCCACCCAGTCTTTGGCCTAGAAATATTTTAATCATTTTTAAAATGACGCCTACGTTTTCCGTCATGTTGCCGACTTTCGGCTTCACCTCGTTGTTAAAAAAGTTTTCAGTCTAATTCGAAAAAAATCAAAGATTAACAGCGAAACCTACGTTATTCTTTGCCTGGTTCACCCAATTCGCAGCCTAAAAAATTATCAATAAAAATTCAGTGGGTTTCCTACGCTTCCGGTCATGTTCTCGACGTTCGGCTTCACCTCGTTGTTGAAAAAGTTTTCCGTCTAATTTCAAATTAATAAAGACTAAAGAAACAGACATTGTCTTTAGCCTCGTTCACCCAGCTTCCAGCCTAAAAATAAATTAGATCAAAAATTAATATAATTAAGTGAAATTTAAGAAAATTGCTTACAGCTTGTCCGGCACCTTGTACGGAGCTACTGACATCGTTGGCTACATTTTGGATCTAAGATATGGAAAAATATAGATTTAGAAATTTTGATAGTGTTTACCATTCGTAGACTACTAAAGAGCCTTCAATTCATAGATATCTAACGCCAAAAACTGTTAATAACAGCTTATAAATTTTGTATACTTACCTGACCCCAAAGATCGTCAAACCAGCCGCCCTGCGATACAGTAACAAAGGCAATAAGCAAAATAACGGCAAAACGAAGCATTTTAAGGTATCTGCAAGATCGTACGTTTTTTGTGAACGAATCATAGCTATAGAAAACGCTTTGTAAAATCAGAAAAATCAATGAAGGTTAAAAAGGCATCTGCGATCGAAATTTGTCGAATTCAACCCAATTCCAGCGGACCGTCAAGTGGTGTCTGACGGAATCTGTCCCGTGTCGGGGGAAACAACGCGACACCGGTGGATTACCGGGTTCAGCCCCCTATAAATGAGGTCCGAACCAAAATGATGGCCATAAGCGTTCATTGTATTCCCACGTACAAATCAGAGGTTGAATCATGGAAAAAGAGGATTTTATATCTGAGTACAGCGAAGGACCAAGTGACAAATGCTTGGAGGTGTACTGTAGTTAGAGAGATAGAGAGGGAGCGAGAGGGAGGCAGAGAGAGAGAGAGCTAGGGGGAGCAAGATAGAGCGCTAGAGAGCAAGATAGAGCGCTAGAGATAACGTGAGAGAGAGAGGGAGAGAGAGAGAGAGAGAGGGGGGGGGAGAGAACATGAGAACACTGACTCGATTATTATAAGCCATTAATGCACACAGTAAACCCTTTATCGGTTTTATCGCATGCTTTTACACCTTCTGCACCCTGTTCTGCATCTGTCCCTAACGCATTAACAGACTTGATAACCCCTTCCGCTCAATGACCTCTCAAATTCATTACTTCATTCCCACCCACCATAGTGGATTCAATCCTGACCTCGTTCTCCAATCCCGCACCCCCCACCATGCCATTTCAATCTCTATTCGATTTCGCCAAATCGCTGCCCTTCGCCGACCAAATCCCAGCACTTGGAAAGCGGATTCTGGCAAATATTGCTGTTGTTAATGATCAGGTATGTATTTAAAAAAAAAATGAGAAATCATACAAATTCCAGGACCTCCCTTCTGTCAGACTAGGCGATGATCAGAAACTTAAAGATATCTGCAACGATATCGTCAACCGAGAAGTTGAGAAGGTCCGTTTTTACGCCTGTTTACTTACATAAATTTCTATTTTCAGCGCCCATTCCGAAGAAGTCTCGACACCAACAAGTACCTAAAGCTGGGCCGCGAAATGATCGCCAACTTCGAGACGGACCTGCAGTTGATCAAGGCCCTCAACGAGGAGTACGAGGCGCAGATGCAGCGCTGGGCTGGGGCTTGTGATTCGCAGGTATTCTTTTAAGTAAATATTATCAGGTTGGAAGGTAAGTCCTACGTTTTCCATTTACTTTGCCATTAAAAAATTAAATTCTATGAATCGCAATTTTTCTTTAAATGAAATGCAATTTTTCTTTAAATGAAATGCAATTTTTAAGGAGGAATTCGTGTACGGTGCCGAGATACTTCTACGCGGTTTGCACGCTGCCATGGCTAGGATGAGGTCGGAGACAAATTTGAACGTTGAGCAGCAAGAGGCTTTGCAGCTGAGTCCGCCATTCAGACAACAGGTGGGTAATGATCACCGCACTCTTTTAACGTTTTCACTGTAACAAAAATACGATAGAACTTTACAAAAAGTTCAATTTTTTAGGCCTGGCATCGCCAATTCAGCGAAATGGATAGAATGTTGGCCGTAAGCCGGTATGCTGATTTTAAGAAGGTCGTCAGGGAAGCTCGGCTGCTGGCGTTTGGAAATGTCAAAAATGCGGAAGTCGCAGCGTTCTGTTTGGCCAAAAATGAGGTTAGACAAGAATTTTGAGCTCTCTCTCACTCTCTCTCGCCCTCTTTCTCTTTCTCTTTCTCTCTCGCTCTCGTTTGACCGAATTAATACGATTTTTACAGGATGACTACCACACCCGTCTGGCCTCTTCGATCCCTCGAACCCTCTCTGAATTTTTTTGACGAACGCGAGTCAGTTTTTTCGCGATAAACATGTCATCCTGTCACAAATACATACCATATGAATGCATTCGAATTACAGCATAAATTACCATAAACCTGGTCTTATTCTGAATACGTCACCGCGCGTCTCGCGGCAATGCGGCGGCTTCTTCTTTTCGCGGTCCTGCTACCGCTTATCGGGGCCACGTGCCCAGGGTGGCGGAACTATAGGGAGGTGCGGAATAGTTTTTAGCTGGCCCAGCTTTTAAAATACCTTGAAAATTTGATTAGGTATGCCTATTCGGCTCCTTTGCCGACAACCTGACGATGGAACAGGTGGTGCACGGCGCCGACGAGATGTGCTATGATGAGAATTTGGTTCGAGTAAGGCTTTTCTAGACTTCCGAGGCAGAGGTCTAAGCCGAACCTAGGCCCAAATCGACGCCTAACGTCTAAGAACGTAATTTAGCGCTACACGCCGTGCCCCCGCGCCCTCCACAGCTGTGCCCTCGTCTACATCGAAGACCACCCGACGCACAAAGTACAAAAAAGTACTTGGCAATTGGCATTTACTTATTTAGCTCCATCATTTGTGCGTAGACGATGCGCGACCACACGTGACGATACACCCTGAAGTACCTTTCTACTTTTTTGGCAACTTCATTAACTCCAGTTCACGCGCGCGGACCTTCGGCATCCGATGGATGAGCGCGTGCAGACGATGTCACGAGGCGATGGCGAATGGCAGGTGTCACCGTGGGTTTTACCGGTCAAAAACCGCGTAAAAAATAGCGTACACACCATGAAATTCGACTAACTACAGGCGTAACGCAGCACGCAACGCATCTAAAAACAGCAGCCGACCCATCTTTTCTACCTTGACTGGCCTGAGGGTTATTGGGCTGTAAAGTACACCAAAATACTCTTCAGGCCCAGACGCGCATTTTTGGTTTATCTTAGGCCCTTGTAGCCTAACGGTAAGCCAAGATCCAGTAGTTGGAAGTCGGCTGGAGTAGGCGTACACGATATCTATTTCGGTTAAACCTAGCCGCAACGCAGCACGCAACGCACGTAGTTTAGGTCCTGCATCAGCCATATGGAACGAGTCATCCATGGTGATGTGACGATAAATGGAACCCTTTATCAGGTACGTTAACCTCGTTGCACTTTAGAAAATTCTAGGCGAGCATGATTTGCTGCAAAAAAAGCACGCGCTGCGACAAGTTGATAGGTAATTTAATATAATTCGCGTTCAAAAGAAGCCTTTTTAGATCATGTCTTCCGTCAGGAGTTGTACCAGGGATGGCCGGTGGGTTAATAGCGACACAATTTCTTACTTACTTCCCTTTTTTGAAAACTAAAAAACACTTCAGATTCACGCAGCCACGATCACGTTCGCAACGTTCCACGCCGTCATGTCGATTCCGGTCGTTTGGGGCTGGTATCAGCGGATGAGGAAGACGAAACAAGAATGAAAGCCCCCCGTTGAATTAACGCCTTTCTTTGAAACTGCATGTGATTTACAATATCCAGACTACCAGCGTGAATAAAGTGGTTTATGAAAAGTTGTGTTGGCCTGTTTTCAATTTAAACAAGTCACAAATTCCGAAAACACAGCAAAACCTCGAAAAGCGCTGATCGCTAACCCGGGCCTGCTTTCCTATCGCGCGGCCCCTGGCGACGTAACCGTTTTTTGCTCACCCCCGAAACGCGCGCGCCCTCGCCCACTAAACGGGCCCTCGGACCAAATTCAACTAAATTCTCCCTTTTTCGATTTAAAATATGTTTTTAATGAATTTTATCTATTTTAATGGCACCATAGCTGTTTAGAATTGTTTATTTCCTAAATCTTTTCAGCTCTGGGCGTTTACCAGTTTTCAAACCCGTTTTTCAGAACTCGAAAAGCCGGAAATGTCACAGCTCACGGACTTGAACAGTCAAGATCGACCTTCAACATCGGCAAGTGAGTCTTTTACGATTTTAAAAGCTTTGGCTAGGGGCGTTGATACATATTTTTAATTTCAGCGCCACCAGCCGATGCATCCTTGGTACCTCCCATCGTCGTCAAGGAGGCTGGACTCGAGGTGAAAATTAATCCGAGAAAATTTAAGAGCGTTTTAGTTGATCAAGCAGCTGATCGCGAAGGTTGACGTCGAGATGGCGAATGTTGCCCAGAAAATTGTAAGTTTTTGGCCCCTTTGCTTTTTGCAAATCAATTTCTAGGCCCAAGTAAAAAGCGCGCGCAAGCTCGCCGACACTCGCCACGAGCTTAAATCGGCCCGGCTGCAAGTGACGCTCTTTTTGCCGCCATATTTCCGGAATCGAAGGAGATTTGTGAGCTTGGGGGTTGATTTTGCAAATTTTTGCCCCTTTCTAGGCTCCACCAATGAACCGAGAAGCCCTGGAAAAGCGGCAGAACAACGCTTTTGATCCGCTTGTGAGGCCGCAAAGACCATGTGGGTATTAGAGCTTTTTTAAAAACGGATATCACCTTGGAAAATAAATTTTTCGTATTTTAGGGGGCGATAAAGAAATTAAAATGCTGAAGGACGCCGTGAAAAACGAGCTCGTCGAGCATCAACTATTGGAGCATACGCGCTACGTCGAGCTCCTCACCGCCAAGATCAAAGCAGCTGGAGTCGAGACGGGTGAAGAAGAAGTGGCTGAATGGCGGCTTGAACGAGATAAGCGCTTGGGCATTATCGAATACACAAAGTATGTTTTTTTTAATTTTTAGAGAAAATCGCTGTAGAAAACGTAGACTTAGTAGAAAATAATATACGTTTTGCTGCAGAACAAACGGTCCGACGATTACACTTCCCGCCGAACACATCAAATGGGATAGAATTGCCACCCGAGCGGTATATGAAACTGATTTTGATGAAAAGCTGGCGTTTAGTTCAAAGGCAATCGCACGGCCGACGAATGCCGTCGCGAATGGATCAACGTCATCGACCCGAAAGTGAATACCAAGAAATGGGACGACACGGAGTTAAAGTTCGTTATATTTTCCGGTTTTTAATTGTTTTTTTTCAGGAAATTGAGTGAACTTACCAAGGGTCGCGAAGGCTTCATCAATTGGCTGCTGATCACCGAGCAGTTGGGCACCAATCGGCGCCCATTTGACGTTTTTCAAAAGTACCAATCCGAGCTGGCGAATCGGGTGGGGAGGTAAGCACCTATTTGTAAAGCTCTTTAGTAACTTTTTTAGGCCTTGGACGGCTGAGGAGGACGAAAAGCTGCTGGGGATCATCGAGTTGGTGCGCTGCGGGTCGAACATTCCTTGGGATAAAGGTGGGTGAGATTTTATAGCAACATTGTCTTTTTTATAGTCGCCCACTTCATGCCTGGACGTAACATTCGGGAGCTGAAGAATCATTCGAGACAAATCGACGTTGAGGTGAAGCATGGCCGATGGACGGACGATGAGGATTTGGTATGTTTTTTTACGGGGTTGGCAATGTTTATTTTTCGGTTTCTTGGTAGTAAAAAAAGCCGTTTTCTTTTTCAGATTCTGCTATGCGCCGTCGAGAAATACGGACACCACAGCTGGCCCAAAGTGGCTACGATGACGCCGACGCGTGGCGCTCAACAGTGTCGGCAACGGTAATTTATCTTTTTGAGAGAACAAACTTTTCGTCAGGATTCCATTTTCCTAATGTCATCGCGAAATCGTTCCTACGCTGTTTTTGTTATCCCCAACATACCAAAAATTTACGATTTTACGATTTTTTTTTCAGCTGGAAGCACCTCAGCCTCAAACACACACCCGGCTACTTTGCCACCAACTGGAAGATGATTGAGGACGAGAAGCTCGTAGCTGGCATCGAATTCTTCGGAAAGGGTAAATTAATTTTCCAAACACGCTTATTACTGAAAATTCAGGAAAATGGAAGGAAATTTGCTACACCCTGCTACCAGATCGAACTCCAGATTCTTGTCGTATGCGCTACTGTTCGCTTCAAACGACGAAAATTCGTGTAAGGATTGTCAATTGTGGCTTTTACAAGGCTTTTTTATAGCTGGCCGCAAATCAACCTGAATTGGTGCGTGCGGCGCACAACAGTGCTGTTGGTCGAGCCCTCGGTGCATCATCGAAGGTGGAAAAGGTAGTTTCAAATGTTTTAATTAGTTGAGGAAAGCTATATTTTAGCTCTACGACCGCTTAGATGAGCTGTCGGGAAACAATCCGCAGGTCATGGAGTCGGCGAGAAACCGTGGCCTCGAATATCTGGCAAAGAAACGAGGTACATCGCTTCGAAATTCAAATTTTACGAGCGTTTTTTACAGAGAACTGCAAGAAGTCGATGGACGCGGAAACTCTGGCCAAATTGGAGGCGCTGCAAAAGGAAATTGACGAGAAATATGCGAATGAGTATGTTTTTCATCTATTCGCATTACCGGGGAAGGGGGGTTCTATTTTGTATAAATCTAGAAATTGAAAGAAAAGAAAACAAAAGACAAAAACAAAAGAAAGTTACTGAAGAAGGATGTGTTTTAATAGTGTTTTGGTAAAAGAAAGCTATCAAAAAACGTTGAAAAAAATTCAAAAAGTCGGCATTTGGTAAAAAGCGGCCATTTTTGGTCGAAAAAGCCTATCTTTAGGATTTTATATCTTTAAAATTTCAGTGAAATAGCCGATAACCCAGAGCTCTCTGCCCGCACGGCTGCCGCGATTCTGGAGCGGATTACGTTGACCGACGAGTGGGGATAAAATGCTCTTTATTATTTTGTTATCATTTTTAGGGACATGGCCTTGTGGGAGCAAAACAAGGAGAGACGCCGAGACGCTGATCGCCGCAGACCGTTGGTTTTTTAAAAAATTGATAGATTTCAATAACTTATTTGCGGAGAATCCCGCCTTATATAATTTGGTCGCGTATGTGTGTGTGTGTGTGGATGTCACTTTCGAGGCCCGATTTGAGGGCCTTCCCGTGGATGAAATGCCTTAATTCTCCGACACCCGGGGGAATCGACCCTTCTGTTTCCGATGGCGTTCTCAGAATTTCGATAAAATACAAGTTTACAAAGTTAAGGCCGGTTTTATTCATTTTTGGGGGTCCCTGAGGGCTAATTTGCATAATGCGAGAAAATACAAATTTCCGCATTCTTGCCAGTTGCACTCGCGCGTGTGGTCGGTTCGGGGTCCGCCGGACCCCAGCTATCGGAAAGTCAAATTTATCATGCAGAGGCCGCAATCCAGCGCCCAAGGCCCGCGAAGCGGGTTTTGGGCGCTGGTCATATATAATTTTTTTTCAGAAAGACCCAGAAATTGCGCGGGAAGGCCGAAGGGTAAGAATTATTATTTTTTTTTTGAAAAACCATATTTTTAGTGTAACCAGCCGCACGAGGCGTCTTCGTACCCCATTGAAACTAGGCCCCTTTGAGAGGAACATTAACATCGCGAAAGTCAGGAATGATCCGGTATCTTGGATTTGGAAAGGCGTTAAATTTTCTATATTTAGGACAAACTGCGTGCAGCGCTATATGAATCACTTGCCCAGTACATCCGCCGCTCCGACAAGTACTTTTTCCATAAGGTAGCTTGTATATATTTCAATCATTATTGCTGCTATTTTCAGGCGATCGCCGGGAGCGAGGACTTACAGCGGGCGATGCGCGCGGGATTTTCAGCGGCGATGAGCAATGTCGGGATTTTTTTATTCAATTCTTTTAGCTTTTAAGTTCCAGAATTTGGACTTTTTTGTTTGTATTACCACTGTTATTCTTTTAATTTCCATATTTTAATTTTTAAGCTGCTGCCGCGTGACGCTGATGCTCCAGAGGAGCTGCGTGCGCCAAACTATGCCACTTTCAGTCTACTCGGCAAGCTCGAGGTATCTACTTTTTTGGTTGTGGTTATGAATTCAGTTTTCTTATAAACAAAGAAGATTTTTGTATATTTTTTGTCCTCTATTTTTCAGGCTGAACGTGCTGACCTCTTCGCAAAGGCCAGCCAAAATTTCCCGATCGCCAAACCTCTGACTTCAGTGCCAAAAGTAGTTTGGGCACTTTTTTAAAAATTCGATTTTCAGAAGCTCAACCGTGTCCAAGTCGACCTCTCCCGAGAAATTCTGGAATCCCAGAATTGGCAAAGTTCAAGGTTTTCTTTTTCCTAGACTTCAGTTTTTTCGTTTCAGAAATTCATGCGCAACCTGATGCAAAGGACGTACGATGCGGACACGGCGCTTTGGCGAGACGAGGACGAGGGAAAGTGGCGCGAGTCCAGCGCTCTGGCAGGAGCGAATGGCGCTACGGCAGATGCGCCTACCGATGCACCGACATCTTCAAATAACACCAACGATCAAACGGATGAAGCTCCCGGGCCGTCACTGCTCAATAAGGTTTCTAGTTTTTCCTTTTTAGGTTTTTAAAAGCTATTTTTAATTGATTTCGAGTTTTATTTAATTTTTGAATTAATAAAAATGGCCGTAATAATTAATATCTTAACTTAGGTATCGGCGGCCATCCACTGCCTCCCTTCTACCTCCTCCTCCTCATCTTCAACTGGAATGTTGCCCTCACGAGGGACGGCTATTGAGCGCAGGGATCGCCTCCAAAAAACGTTCAGCAATGTGGGTACCAACGCTCTGTCTACGAATTCCACTACTTTGCTGTGCCTCGTTATTTCCGTTTTTCAGGTGATGGCCTCGCGTAAATCGGACGTCTCCACCGGCTCGCGCAAGGGCAGCTCCCGGCACGGCGACGACGCCAGCTCGATCTCAACTTCTTCTCGCAGCATCATCCCCATCTCACCGGCGCCGGTGCGCGGCCTCAAACGGATTCCCGCGCCCGCGTCAAGCCCGTTGGAGCTTTATAAGGTATATAGGCTTTTTCTTTAACCTATAGCATTTTTGGCTAGTTTTTAAATTGTCGAAGTTCAGAATTTTGAACTTTTTTCGTAGTTTTTGGCATAATTATGAATTTAGATATTCTGAAATTACGGAGCTGAATTTCGATGTGTTGAGCTACGAATTTATGCAATTTCGAATCTGAAATTTGGCATTGTGAAAACTCGACATTATGAATTTCGATATTATCAAATTTCGGCGTTCGACATCAAAACATCTTTTTTTCAGCGTCCACGCAAGATGGAGCCCTGAGCCACTCGCCGCGAATTGTTAACCGTTAATTTGTTATCAAAGATTTCTACGTAATGCGCTTTGCGTTATGTTTCGAAAATAAAGTTTATCACCTTGCCACGTTGTTGCCTTTTGGGACTTCAAATTGTTTTCACGTCCCAGGAATAAATTGGTGCTTGGTGATTTGGGTGTGGAGCATGGTAACCCGTGCCCGGCAACCGACGACGAACAAAGGACGCGGGCCTAGAATTTGCGAAACGACAACTACAAGAAATTTTTTATCGTGCTTTGTATTTTGCTGTATTAAAAAATGTCGGATGATGAGGGGAATCTGGAAGAAATTCCCTGGGTGCCGATCGTTGTCGGCCAGGGTGACCCGAACGTGTTCAACAACCGGAAATGGACCAGCGAGCCGGGGTATGGCATAGGACTTATATTAGTTTCTTTGGAGCCAGAGCATTATCAAGGGGAAGGTGGAAAGAGGGTGACAAAATTTTTTACGCGATAAACTGAGATTTTTGCGATATTTCTTTCCACAGTTTTTACTATCTCCAAAACGAAAACAATGTTACAGATTTTTATTAAAAAAAATACAAAAATATAGCATTTTCGAGTACAGATGGCCGAATTCGACAAAAATAATCATTTTTCTCAAAAATTCCGTTTTTAGATAATTTTTCTACTCGGAAACTACCTAAATTTTACTCCAAACCTATTAAGGGTTTTGCGTTATTCGCATTATCGAGGTTTTGGGACCTCCGTTAATGCGAAAGTGCCGTTGATATCATATATTTAGCGAACTCTATCCGATCGATATTGTCCTGGGTTTAAAATATCTCTGCAATGTCTACAAAGTGGTCGTTGATGTCGATCCGGAGCTTATTCGTGAGTTTTAGTCGGCTTATACCTTTCTATCTACAGATTCTTTCAGCTCAGTTTTAAAACCATAAAAACTCCCTTTTAGCCTCCAAAATCGAGGTCAGTGTCGGAAAAGGCGAACCTGATTGCGGAAACGACGTGGAAAGCGCAAAATCGGCAGATTACGGCACTAAGGGCTCGCTGGTTTTTAAGGTGATCATCTACTGACAAGGTTTTGAACGTTTTTAGATTCGGGAACGCTCGAATAGTCGTATGGAAGGGCGGTAAGGACCCAAAAACTCCGAAATTCCAATATGTCAGAACCCTATTCGCCGACCACGTTGGCCACTTCGTCTGGCTGGTCGTCTACAAGCCGTTGCCAATCAGCAAGAACCCGAATAAATTGGTAATTTAACGTTGCTAGTATCGGATTGCATCATTTGAAATTGGAATTTAAAAGAGAGGAAGTCCACTTTTTGATAGCCTAAAAATTGGCAATTTCTAGCACGCGTCATGGTAGCGAGCACTAAAAACTTTATAGCCTTTCGCTAGGCGACGTTTCCAAGGAGTTCACATTGTCGTTTAGGTGGGCATTCGAAAAGTGACAATTCTGGGGTATCCTGTTGAGAAGGATCGGCCGCGGAGGGCGCCCAGCAAGAGCAAGAGCAGGGGAATGCAACGCGGTGAGTTATAGCTACGCTACAATACGTTATTCCGAGTATGCCCCAATTTCAGAAAGAACCCCATCAGCAAGCCGTTTATCCACAGCATCCCCGGCAAGAATGCCGACACCAGCTGGAACGCCGACCGTGCCACCGGAATATATGGTCAACCGGTATAGCTAGTGTGTTTTAATGGCACTGATATCTTTCCTACCACTAATGAGTGTTGTTTTCCTAACCAATTTTGATGATTTCATGATTGTATTATTGGCGATTGCTATTTTTTTCAATTATTTTATTTATATTTTATTATAGCTTTATTAATTTAGTGAAGGCGATGGAATGAATACCGGTGGCGATAATTTGGCGGGCGATCCTCTGACCACGATCAGGACCGTGCAGCGAGCATTAAGGGAAAAGATTGAGGTCTCGAAACAGGTCGATTTAAAAGTGCAAAGGAAATAAAGTGGCATTTAGGAAGGGAAAGACGTCGAGGCGACCGTTTGCTTGCGGGCGATTCAACGGCTTGAGGAGTATGAGGTCTGTTGGTGTTTAGAGTCTAAAAATTAAGCTTTAGCAACTTTCTAGTACATAAATACATATATTTAATAAATCTAATTTTTACAGGTCAGACTTGAGGATATGGCAAGCCGGCGAAGCAAAGCCTTGACAGTCGGGGATATGCAAGCGGTCGGTCACGGAATATTTTTATGTCTTTCTGTCGCTGATGCCGCTTACACTTTCGAAAAACACCAGAGGTATCATCTAAATTTTTTTTCAGGCCGAACGTCTGAATCTAATGATGACAGACAGCCGGGATACTGTACTACGCGCCATCCACGTGGATCTGTTGCTGAATCGGGCAGAGGTTTGCATAAAAAATTCCGGGAATTTCTGAGAGTATTCTAACGGTTTTCTGTCAAACTCTTTAGTTTATAATCGTTTAAAAATACTGCAGTTGTAAAAGTAATAGAAACTTTTTAAACTTGCATAGTTTGGACCTAGTAAAGACGACATTAGTTAAGCAAAAATGAAAATTCCGTTCAGCTCCGTTCGATCGGGGTGGGTTCGAGGTGGAAGGAGATCCCGGAAAGCTACTAAAAACGCGGATTTCTCACTTGAATAATGGATGATAACTTTAATAAATACATTCTGCTTAAAGTGTTCTTCCTACTCCCTCTCTCCATCTCTCTCTCTCTCTCTCTCTCTCTCTCTCTCTAAAGTATTACAATTACGGATCTTGGCTACAATTAATGCTCTGTTTACCCAGGGCTCACATTTCCAGCGTTCTCCGGGGGTCATGTTCTTGTAGTTTGCACGAGAGAGCCCGAAAATGGGTTGTGTTGGCTGTATGATAAGGGGCTCTCCGGGCCGCGGCTCTCGATTAAATAGCAATCAGTCCGCAAAACGAGTCGTCACCACTTTCACTTCCCCTTATTTGAGGTCTGATTTGCATAATTCTAAATTTTTCCTTTCAACCTCAACGCTACTACTGTAATTTTGTTAGGCTTAAACCTCTCGAAATTTTGAAAGATTAGATATTTCGGGTTCAGAAAAAGCTTTAAAGGGACGGGGACAAATTTTGCAAATCGTCTTTTAGGAGGAGCCTGGGGAAATATCCAGCATTGTGGGAATCACTGCCAAAATCAAGGTTTTCATTGGTTTTTAGGACAAAAATGTCAATTCGGCACTTTTTTATACGGTTTTTTGACCCCCACCTCTCGCCAAACCATCGCCAAATCACTCGCTTACCCTTCTTCGATTTCGCGGATTGCTGGGCGGCTAATCTCTGCGGGTTCACCCACAATTCAAATATTTGTCCGCCCCCAGGGCCCACACCTCACCGCAACCCGCCGATTTTCTGCGATCACGAATCGGTCATTCCAAATTTTTCCTTTCAGTGTGCGTCTCGTTTTCGCTTTTTTTTTTCGTGAAATTCGACCTCTTGTAATATTGGTTTTGTCATATTTGTATTTTTCTTTGTTTATTTTTTCGGGACCTGCCGAAACCGTCCCTTTAGAAGAAAGGTAGAAACGGAATGTAAACTTAAGAGCTATTCGATGTGACATAGCTCGTTCGATAGCGCTTTAAATTCTGAACGAAACCCCGTCTTTAAAGCCTGCTGGACGATAATGTTATTGTAGAAAAAATTGTTAGATTTTACATTTTGTGATTCATGAGCCAAAAATGAGCAAAGTCGGGCCTCTCAGACCGAATTTTCTCCAAGATCGTGGCTGTCCAACAGTTTTTGAAAACTAAGATTTCTAAGAAATTTCAAGCTCTATCGGGTGGGCTTAGGCTTAGGCTTAGGTTTAGGGCTTGGGCCTAGGCTATGTCCTGTCGCAAAACTCCGAAATCATCACAAAACCGCTGCTGGTTAGACGAAAACGACAAGTTAAACAGCTAAAAACGAAGAGCTAGACGGTTCAAACCGAAAACTTTGAGTAAAATCGGAAAAATAAGAAGTTTTAACCACACAAAACTTAAAACGCAAATTTCACGATGGGCTGACTCTGACGATTAGTCAGTAGAAAAACGTGTTCCCCCCACTCACCCATTATTCATACTACACCACCCCCCGTTCCCCCCTTGCATTCACAGATTCCCGGCTATTATTTTCCTCACCCGTTTTTCCGCTACGATACGCTACTTTCTCCACACTCTCTTTTACACCCGGTTCTCGTGGATATTGATGCACTATTGCTGTATCTTCTGCTTTCAAAGGAGTCTATCTCAGGAAATCGCCGCCATGCCGCAAAAGCCGAGCGACAAGCAAATGGAGGGATACAAGCAGAACAACCCGGTAAATTTAAAATTTGAATAAAACAAGACTTTATTTTTCTTTTCCATAATTTAAAAATATAATTTTGGTACAAGTTAATTAAAAACCAGGGTTGAAAAACCGCTTCGCGGCTTTTCAACCCTGGCCCCGTCTAGGACCTATGAAAGTAGTGACTTTGCATAATTCTTTCCGAAGACCGATCACCAAAAATGAAAACCACGCCCTCCCTTCCTTTTTATAAACCATTTCCACTTCCGCCGTATGCTAATTACTTCCTAACAAAGAGGTTGACAGAAAACTTTACAAAAACCTAATTTTAATATCGAAAATAGAAATTTTTCAAAACTTTTATGTGTGCAGTCGATTCCAGCCCCTTCTTTACCCTATGACGTTTCTTCCCTACCGAAAAAATGCTTCCCTGAACCTGTAGGTGCGGAACATCCAAACGGAAGTGCATGCAAATATACACACACACACAGACACTATTTTTTTATATATAGTAGGATATGAATTTTCGAAAATACGGTGCATCTAAACTACCATATTTTTCAAACACCAATTTAAAAAAGGCGCTGGTATTAATTATTTATGCAATTTAATTGAATTAATGTTTTAAAAACGATACTTTTGATGTTTAAAAGTAAAAAATGAAAACTGTTGAATTTCAGATTCAAAATTGTTGCTAAAAATCCGCATCTGAAAAATTCGGAATTGGTAGAGTTTAGGAAAATTTTCGTTTCCTATATAAAATATTAAAGATAAATTTAAGACGATATTATTTTTGCAGAAACTCCAAATTCTGACCACCTCGACCGGGGCCCCCATCCACGAGAAGAAGGCCGTCCTCACCGTGGGCCCGCGGGGACCGATGCTAATGCAGGTATGGTAGGAATTATAGGAAAACCTAGCTTAACTGACTTCGCAAGCCCTTTAGGTCTAAAATATCGCAAAAAAAACCATTTCTAGGATGTGGTCTATATGAACGAGATGCAACACTTCGACCGCGAGCGTATCCCGGAGCGCGTCGTACACGCCAAGGGGGCTGGTGGGTTGACTAGAAGTTGCGAAGCCTAACCCTAATCCTAGGCCAATTTCGAGCCAAGCTGAGCAACAAAAAGAAGCTTAAACCAAATTATTTATCCAGGCGCCCACGGCTATCTGGAGATCACCCACGACATCAGCAAGTACACCCGAGCCGAGGTGTTCTCGAAAGTCGGCAAGCAGACGCCGTGCTTCGTCCGTTTCTCCACTGTTGGTGAGTTGGTTTGGGAGGGAGCTAGCAAAGATTATTGCCAATCGGCCGAGGCCTAACCGCACAGCTGTCGAGACCCAGCTTACGGGAGGGTCGATTCGCGCACTTTTCAGCCTCTTTAAAGGGAGACGGAAGTAAGCCCATTAACGATTTTTGCTGAATCGATTCTAGACTCGTATTTAATGGTCCATATACCACATTCGGGTACCCCGCTGCCTCTCACATTTCATGGCCGGCCGACTCACAATCGCTGATAACTTATCACGGGGATAGTGAAAGCGCTGACCGGGGTTCCGTACGGAATTCAAGGCGGAAAATTTGTGCAAAACAAGCAGGGAAAAAGCAAAAATTAAAGAGAAAAAATAAATGGGGCAGAGTTACAACGTTTTTGGAAACCTGTAAAATTTTTTTGTAACAAAGAGCAGGACAATTAGGTCCGGGCGGGTTTATGAGGATCATCTTCAATTTACAGGTGGCGAGTCCGGCTCCTCAGACACCGTCCGTGACCCGCGCGGCTTTGCCATGAAGTTCTACACGCAGGAGGGCAACTGGGACTTGGTAAGGATCTTTGGAGAAAAGACTAGAAATGTTTGGGTTCTCTGGCAAGCTAGCAGCGATTATTTTGGAAATCTTTGAGAACCCCTTGAATTTCCTGTTTAGGTTAACAGGAACACCCCCATCTTCTTCATCCATGACCCGATCTTCTTCCCCTCATTTGTCCACACCCGGAAGAGAAACCCGCGGACGCACTTGAAGGTGAGTTAATGCAAATCAGTCGGCTGTCGTGCTGTACAACGGCGTACTGTAGCGTACTCTAGCGTACTCTAAGCGTACTTTCACGTACTATATAGCGTAGTGTAGCTGCTGTAGCTTAGCGTGTCTTTAGCGTACCGTGGAGACTCCTTTCCGCAAAATTCTTTGAATTTTAGGACCCGGAACGCCATTTTCGACTGCAACCACCGCCCGGAGGCCATCCACCAGGTAAAATGCCCGTTTGTCTGGAGAAACCTAAAGCGAAGCCAAGCCTAAGCTAAGCTTAAGCCAAGCCAAGCCTAAGCCCAATACTAACCTATTTTAAGGTGATGTTCCTCTTCTCGGACCGCGGCACCCGGATGGCCATCGCCACATGAATGGCTATGGGTAAGCTGGAATTTTAAGTTTTCCAAACAGCTTGCGGTGTTATTTAAACGTTTTTTGGTAATTTCCTTATCATATTTTGCGTGTTTTGCGGGTGACATTGACAAAATTACATCCAATTTTAAGCTCGCAAACCTTCAAGCTGGTGAACAAGGACAACGAGGCGGTGTACTGCAAGTTCCACTTCAAAGTGAGGATTCGGAAAGGTGTCCAGAGTAGCCGTACGTTTCTAGACGAAACAGGGCGTCAAGAATCTCCCCGTCGACAAGGCTAACAAGTTGGACTCTGACGATCCAGTTTACTCGATTCGTGACCTGTCTAATGCTATTGAATCTGGAGATTTTCCACAGTGGAATGTGTTTATTCAGGTTGGAAAATCGTTTGGGATGCTTAAAAGGTATCAAAGAGACAAAGGGGTCTGGATAGATTTAACGTGTACCTCCCAGGAAAACTCCCGGAAATTGTTAAACTACTGTATTTTTTAGGTGATGACCTTCGGGCAGGCCGAGAAATTTGAGTTCAACCCCTTCGACGTGACTAAGGTTTGTAAAGGAATTTTTCTACTATTGTTTAGCCCAAAAGTAGTTTAAATTTAAATTTAATTTTTTAGGTGTGGTCCCCAGAAGGACTTACCCTCTGATCCCAATCGGCAAGATGGTGCTCAACCGCAACCCGAAGAACTACTTTGCCGAGGTCAGGGCAGTCGGCCTTCTGTCAGGCCCATGTTGTGCCCGGCATCGGGTTCTCCCCGGATCGGATGCTCCAGGTATCCATTGATGGTTTGGTTAGTTGTTGGTTGTGTTGGTTACCAGCTGGAATGCCGACAGCCGAAAATTCTAAAGAATTCTGAAGGCAGACAACCGAAATGTCGACAGCTAAAATATTGACAAACACAAATAAGCTTCAGAATGACGATTCAGTTGCCAAGAGTTTTGCGTGTGGGCATTTCTGGTGTCGGTATTTAACTTCCAGCAATTCGGCTGTCGGCATTAGAGTTGTCGGCATTTTAAGCTTCACCTAATCAGCATCATTTTCTAGGGCCGTATCTTCTCGTACACCGACACCCACTTCCGCCGACTTGGCCCCAACTACCTTGAGTTGCCCATCAACTGCCCCTTCCCTCCTCTGCCCGTAACTACCAGCGTGATGAAGCCTGGCAGCTTACGATTCTCAAGGTATGGCAGACGATCAAAGAGTTAGCAAGAGCGTATTTAGGCGGGGCCCCTCACTACTACCGCGAACTCGTTCCTCGGCCCGGCTGGGCATGCGCACCGGTCATGCTAAGGAGCACGTGCACACCGTTCAGGGCGAAGTGTCCCGCTACGATGATGGAGATCACCACGACTACGACCAGCCCCGCGATTTTGGACTAAGGTAAGGAGGAGCGTAACGTTATCGGTAGCTTGACGCGAGGGGAAAAGAAAGGGAGAGAGATCACCGATGCACATCTGCCAAATTCAGGTCCTCAACGAGGGTGAACGCGATCGTCTCGCCGACAATCTTGGCGGTGCCCTCGCCGGCTGCCACAGATTTATCATCGACCGCTTTGTCGCCCACTGCGACAAAGGTGCACCAGACTTTGGCGCCAAGCTCCGCAAAGCCGTTGATGCGCATGGAGGAGCTGCGGTGAGTGGAGTGATCTCGGAATTCAATTGCTGCTTTTGAGACCACCGAGAAGGCTCATATCTGAAGCGACGTTGATCATCTACACCTCATCTAATAAAGATTCTACTTTAGTGTACATTTTAATGCTGGGAGATAAAGGTTTGGACCAATTTCCGAAACTTAGCTAGGCATCGACAACTACGCTCGACCTCTAATTACGCATGTTTAAACTTGTTGTTGACCCGTTGGCTAACCCACTAAAATTATTTTTAGGGGGCACTCAGCCCAGAGGTTTTCATCGTATCGTTTCATTTTCCCGCTTTAGCTTTGCGGTGAGTATTTAATCACGTCGCAAACATCAGTCAAATAAAATTCGATTTACAAAAAAGTCATTAGCTTTCAGGCGACTTTAAAGAATTCGGGAAAGCGCGAAAATTTACACCTGTCCAGCTCTCGACAGTTACGCAAAAATCCTATGACGTGATTGGCAATTTCTGAGTTTTGTCTCCAACTTACCAGACATAAAGAAAATACTAATTTAAGCAGAAAAAATAATTTCAGTGTCGTCTGGTGTAACTCGTAGTTATTCGTATTTAGTTAGCAAAGAGGCTGATTTTCGCGCTTCTTAGTCTCAACTCCTTTAACCTTTCCTCAAATAACGCCGGATTTCTCTAAAGTATATGTGTAGTTCTACCTGTTTTTACCCAGGCAAAAAAATACAGCAGATTTTCGTAATTTTCTTTTATTTTCGTAGCGTTCGTTTCCGTTCGTTTTAGTATGTATTGATGGGAACTTGTCGTTATTCTGAGAAGAGTTACCCAGTAGATAGGTCAGTTCGGACATGCGATATAAACATAGTGTTCCCCCTCGACTCAATTTCTTCCGGAGGAGTGTGGCTGAGCCACTAAAACGAAGGGGGGGAAATAAGGTTCCGAGAGTCGGCGGAGCTTGGGAAAAAGTGTTTTTGGGTTATAAGGGCATAGAGCAATTTGCATGCGATACCTTGAGCGCCAATCGATAGATCTCGGGATGAGTAGATATTGATAGATGTTGAGAATTTGAAAATTGGTCACTGGATGGCCGAGATATGGTCCTCTGAAATTTAGCCCATTTCTTAGAACTCTTTCTCGAAACCCCATACATCAGGCAAGAACGAGCCAAAACTTGCCGCCTGATTTTCGAACACCACATGACGATTTTGATAAAATGTATAGGATTTCGATAAAGTTCTAAGAAATGGCTCAAATTTCAAGGGACTTATCTCTCAGCCATCCTGTTTCCTATTTGGACGATCTCAACATTTATCAATATCTACTCATCGAGATCTACCACTGGCGCTCATGTATCGCATGCAAATTGCTCTATGCAGATAACTTGCAAAAACACTTTCCCAAATTTCGCCAAAAACTTCTCGGGCCTGTATCTCGACCCCTTCATTTAGTGGCCCAAGATCTTCCTCCGAAAGAAATTTAGGTCGAGGGCTACCAAATGACATATCGCATGTCAAAAATGATGCTATCTGCGATTTTAGGCAGCTCTCGAAATCCTCGGCGACAGGACTTTACTTTCCAACCTGATAGATCTCCCAAGCCCTTGAAACCCCTTAAAATGCCCTCAAGATACTTCTAAAACGCATTTGCCAACCTCTCGTAGTCTCCACGAGCACCCGCTACTTCGAATGGAATTACCGGCCCTCCCCAGTTTTCCCGTGAAAATTGGCGACCCCCAGGCGCTGAAATCTGCGCTCCCAGGGGGCAATACCAGGTGATTTCTCCTCAACTTCCCATTGGTGCTTACGCCCCAAAAAGCATGGGAAGTTAATTAAGGCGTAGACGGGAGTGCGAGGGATTTGGGGCAAAAGGTCGGGTTTTTGGTGGTACTTTCTCCCCTCGAGTTTGGCGGGGGATTTTTAGGATTTCATGTCGTCAGGACAGCCGATTCTTACTTGGTAGTTACGGTATAGGAGGTTGTCATCGTTCGACGTTATTTAAGCGGCTTTTACCGTTTTCCATAAGCAAAATGTATAAAACATAAGTAAAGTAAAACAATTTAGGACGAAGCCTAGCGATAAACTATAACAATTTAAGTCTTACGTGCATGTAAAGATGTACATAGAGGCCCAAGAAAACTAGGCAATCGAAGCAGCGAGGTACTGGAAGCAAAGGGCCAAACCCGAGGCTTTCAATAACAACCTTTTCATCCAAGTTTTTAATAATTTTAGGACTGCGGCGATAACGTTTCCCAAGTTTTTAATAATTGATTAGGACTGCGTATAAAGAGGAATATCACAAGGTTATATTCATTAAACCCCAATTTTGAAAATGAACCGGAATAAAAATCTCTATTTCCAGAACTCAGAATTTGAAAACGCCGCTCTAAACTATAGAATTTGTGCTGCATACGCCCGTCAGCCCGCAAAGTACATACAAAATGTACTCCAGCGTTTTACAGCGGAACCGAAAAATTTTAGCTGCCATCAACCTAAATCCTGATCCTCCGCCCTCGGTAAGCCTTATTAAAATGGTCCACCCACACTCACACATCACGGGAACGCGGAAAAATGTTGAGCTGACCGTGAGGGCGGAGTGTGTCGTATTGGGATCTGTCTGTTTGTCTGTATGTAGGTTTGTAAGTGGCTTTGTATGTATGTTTCTCGCTAGCTCTCGCTCTTTGCCTCTCTCTCTCTTCTCTCTCTCTCTCTCTCTCTGTGATCTCGCTCCCTCTCTATCTTTCTCTGTATCACTCTCTGTCCGTATTTCCATCTGTCTGTCTGTGTTGCTTTATATGTATGTCTGTCAGTCTGTCTGTCCGTTTGACCGTCGTCGTTCTGTTTGCATTTTGTGCGGCCATTCGGCGCCGCGCTTTCCTCCCCACCGAATGGCTGCCGTTTTCATTTTTCCGCCGCGAAAAGTCAATTCCCACCCCGGCAGCTGGTTTCACAAAAATCGTTCCCCTGGATAGGTTTTTCGCTTAAATTTGACTTCGTACTTGCTGAGCTTGAGATTGAGGTACAACCGGAAATAGTCACACACAAAATATTCAGGTTGAATCGTTTACAAGTGCACGTTCGCCAAACAGTGAAAAACCAAGCTAGGCCGGAAATTTTTGGGGTAAAACTGTTGCCGTGGCATCTCTTGATTTAGCTCTCTCTCTCTCCTCTCTCTCACTCTCTCACTCTCTCTCTGTCTCTCTATCGATCTCCCTCTCACTCTCTCTCTCTGTAGCTCTCGCTCGTCCTTTCCCTCTCTCTCGCGCTCTCTCACTCTCTCACCATCTCCTTGTATCAAAAAGATCCTTACAGTCCTCTTGCACTCGAATAACATCCCGAACGCCCCAACGCTTCGTTGACTTGTAAAACTTGCCCCTGCAGGTCGATCAAGCCGTTCTCAGGCGTATGCATAAACCTTCCGAAGGGCTCCTAAAAGCTGCGGACGCCTGACAGTTTCACATTGCTATCCAGAAGCGTCTTTTTTCGTTTTTTCGACTTTTCTTTCGTTACTGGAACATATTGTGAGGTTCAAAGGGAACGCGGCAGCCAGAGGAGAGCGAGAGTGCGAGAGTGAGAGAGGGAGAGAGAGCGAGAGAGAACGAGAGAGAGAGAGCGAGTGTGCGAGAGTGAGAGAGAGGGAGAGAGGAGAGAGAGAGAGAGAGAGAGAGAGAGAGAGAGAGAGAGAGAGAGAAATAGTTACGCTTGTTTTCCATGCAAACTACGGTGGCAGTTACGCTTTTTTGATCATAAAAGCAGAACCCCGCACCCAGAACTTCGGACCACCCTTATTTAAGCCAGCCATTGTTAAGTTCAAGGCTCACCTCGAAAATACAGTATACCCCTCAAATCGAAAGCCCGATTCGGATAAAGATCACGACGAGAACAAAAGGCACATGGTGTATGCCCCCAGTAATGCCCGTTCCTTTCCCCAATTCCCTTTTCAACCCCCGTCCAGGTGTAACCGTAAGCGCACACCAAGTTCCGCGTCATTTTAATCCACCCCGCGGCCATGCTTCTCCTCCCCTCCACCCCATTCGGCTTCAAAATATTTGGGCGATTGGCGGGTCCGCGATAGCGCCTATTCAGCGCTCGGGCGGCGCGCTGACTTTGGCGTCTGCGTGTGTGGAAATCGGGGTTCCCAAGTGTTACGTCCACGGGGTTTTGGGATTTACAGGTTAAGGCTGACTTAACCTAGTTTGAAAACTTCCTTTTTCTAGGTAAGTAAAATTGCCTAGGAACTTTTTTATCTTCCTTGGGGTCGCATGTTACACGTCTATTGACACCGTTAGGCTACGTTATACGCCTATTTAAACCGCTGTCGACTACGGTATACACCTGTTGCCCCCGGGCTTCCACACGGTATTCAACTACTGATACCGTTCCGCTACGCTATACGCTTATTGACACCGAATTTCGGAACTCAGAACCCAAGATTACTGCCACGCAGGCTAGGTACTGTCGTCTTTCGGCGTCTGGCGTAGCTTCGGGTACGCGAAGCGCCAATTTCCCTACGATTTGGGATTATTGCGAGCTGGAGACACCGGATGGAGTAGATGAGCGTTCCCCTGGAGCCGCCAGTAGTCCTTTTAATTCGGCTACGCTAAGCAACAATTGACGCAAAGTTTTGTGAATTTTGTATTGCTTCTTGTTTGTATTTGACAGGATCGGTTTGTAATTTTCTTGTCTTTGAAAATACTCTTATTTTTGCATTAGTTTGACACCCCAATGACGACCTACGCCCCACGCGTACACATTCGAACCCTTCAGGGGATGCAAGTTGAAAGTTCTCGCCCGCTGGACAATGGCCATAATTGGGGTGCACGTTTTCCAGAGGCTCGGAGGCGAACCGGTGGATTTGCTGGGAGGTGGAGAGTGTGAAGTCGCACATGGCTTCACACCCTGTTTCAATGGGGAGCCCAGATCGCGGAGATTCCAGCCGTTCTTGAGCTCGTGCTCAATCCAGGTGCAGGCTTAAAGGCTCTGGAAAGATGTATCTGGTGAATCGGCAAGAGTCGCACCGGGCGGGGGTCGAACCAGGGATGGTCCGACCCGCAGCCCGATGCGCCAGCCAGTACACCAAAGGTCGAGTGGGGAGGGCGGCGGAGGGGCCCCAAATACCCGGAGGGGGCCGCGGGGGACGCCTGTCCCGGGGCTTCACTCTAATAAACTGATAGATTCCAGATGAGTACAGGTGAACGTAAACCGCTCGAAGAATGGAGCGTACAACGCACAATCTGGAAGCTTCTCGTATTTTTTGCATTGCTGCGATTTCCACCATTACCAATTGTTTTTCGCAGGGTTTTTTATAGAAAGATACAATTTATTGCGTGCTAAAAGGCTCAAATTTGACTTCCGGCTTTGGACTAACGAAAGCAACTGCCATGAGGTCGGGGCCGCGTGGAACTAATAGCCTGGGAAAAAAAATCAGCCGTTGTTTCTTCTACTTTACGCGTTTTCTGGATTCTGATTTAGTTCAACTTACAGAAACTCTACCAGTATGGGCGGGTTTCACTGCTTGATCTGTCGGAAGAACGTGAAGGCGAGCTATTTGTCGGTACAGCAATCCGGCCGCCACTATCACCAAATTCAGACTGAGTTAGAAGAAAATGGGCTGGCGCTTACCTGCAGATGCTGGTCAAGCCTTTAACAAAGATTTGCGCCATCCACGATCCTAAATGCCAACAAAAAGTTGCTGTATGTGACTTGGCTATATAAATATACAGGAAATAGGAGGAGAAGATGAAGCGCGTTGATCCCATCAATCTAGCAGTAGCGCAGGAAATCACAATACATCCTGAACAGGTTTTGTATTTTGGAAATATACAACTGGGATAGGGCTGAAACACATTCACCTGGAAATATTGACGTGGTGGAGCTGATGGATGCCGAAGACGGGGCGGAAGGCGCAGAATTAGACAATGACGCCGAAGATCGGATGCTCGGGGACACCGGATTTGGACGGCACTCCGGATCGGCCGGCCTTCTGCGAAGGTGTACCTTAAAGCATGTTTTAAATTTTGCCTAGAAGCGGCAGAGGAAGCTTGCTGGAATCGGCAGCATATTCCTCGGTGACGCCTGAGCAAAATCGACATCCTTCTACGGCGGTGTCGATGTGGAAAAAAAATAGAAGAGTCGATTTCTCGTAAAGAAAGTGAAACTTTGCGTGCCAACATGGCTTGTCGTCATTGTGGCCGCAAAGAAAAATGGAGCAACGGGCACGGCTTCACCGACCACCCGGAAAGAGAAAGCCAAACCTGGATTGGGTTGTGCCGGCCTTAATGTATCTGAGCGGTGTACCATATCAAGTACGTGGTTGGCACAAAAATTGACCTGGAGTTATAGAGATTGTTGGATGCCGCTGACTCCATCCATCTTCACTTGCCGTCTCACAGGACCTATAATAGAGTCTTGAACGAGGTCTTGCTCGGCGCCGTTGATAATGTGCTAGCAGAAGTGCAAGTAAAAGCAAAAAAGAGCTGATCATCGCCGCTTCCGGACAGGTGGCCTAAAATTTGTTATCGGAAGATTATGCTTTAGAACGGGCTACGCATCGCGACAGATGCGTCGTACGATAGCATGGGCATATTGTGCCATGCTTTGTCGACTGCCGATCCTATGCTTGCGGACGGGCCTGATCATCTCCGTGATCCAGAAGGAGCGCTATAGGGACGGCAAAGGAAATAGTGGCGCAACTGGAACTGCGGGCGACAAAGGACGCAATACAACTGGCACCTAAGCTGATCGGCATTCGGATCCACAGCCTGACCACCGATAGGTCGTCCCCGATAAAGAAGACATGGCCGAAAATCATGGGACTGGGACCGGCACAGCCTATAATCCACATGTTCGACAATTGGCGCATAACCAAAGAACTGAATAAGAAACTACGAGTGGCCGCCAAGTTGAAGCGAAATGGATACCTGTGAACTGTGGCGGCACTCCGTCGTCTCGTACACGTGGAGCATCGTAGGGTTCGGGCGGCGATCCAGAGCTTCGTCGAGGAAAAGCTCCTTTCCATTCTGGGCTACACGTCTGCGGCATTCACAATTTCAAAGGAAATCCCAACTTCAAAAAATTCACCGCGGGCGAACATGGACCGGATATCGACCATCGTCCACCACTCGACCCGAATTCTCCAGCCTACGAATTCCTAAAAAGTGTATTCACTCCGCGAGTTGATACAGGCATATCAACAAGCCGACTATTTGGGAAGCACCGCCGCTATTGAAAGCTTCAAAATGCTCTTGCTGGAGGCATTGCTCGAACGGATCTGGCTGGCACTGGAGCAGCATCAAGCACGGCTGAAGTTAGCTAATACGGGGAATGGAATTCGCGTAAATTCTCGAATTGGAAGGCGTGCGTTGGGTTTACAGCAAACGGCGCCAGCAGCGGAAATATCAAGAGCGGCCTGCCTGGAAAAAGAATTGGGCGACCGACAAAGCGCGAGAGAATCAGTGGCGAGTAGATGCTATCTGGGGAGCGAAAGAACTCCGATACGCATACCTTGATTCCAAGGAGGAAATTGGAACGCCTTGCGGAGATTTCTGGACCGAGGACGTGGGCGACTTTGATCACGTTATTGACATCAACCGCATGTTGGCCAACGAAGACGAGGTTCAACTGCAATTTGATCAGGAGGACAACGAGACCGAATAATTGGCGAAAATAGCCACAAGAATCTCCAATATTTTATAAATTTATCACTGCCAATACTAAACCTCGACGAATTCTAAAAACACCGTAGAAAAGCAAGTACGTGTTATCAAGCGCGAGCAATGAAATCAAAACTGGGACCTTCAAGGCATTTTTTGCAAAAAGAAACAAGTAGATCATAAGTAAACAATTTATTCAATCAACGACATACGAAATTTTTATATTCTCTGCTGTAAAGCCGGAATTGCAAAACCGACGGGGAACGGGGTCTGGGGGCCCTTACGCGATGGAAAGTGTCCATTGTAGCGTCCCGTCTGTCCTCACCCCTGGGGACGCTCAAACATCTTTCCAAGGGTCTTTAAAAAACCTCATTGGTAATCCCGTCTGGTTTGGTCGACTTGATTTACGCTATAAAATTACGAAAATTTTAATAAGGACTAAAACTACTTTGATCCTAATTTAATAAACCGTGCCCGTTTCCTCTTTTCCTTTGCTTTTTCTTACTTGCCAGCTAAAATACTACGTGTAATATGCACCTAATTACGAAAAACGACACCTTTTGAGCTACAGTACCTCCCAACTGAGCCCCGGCTCTCCACCTGTTTTGATGGGGTGAGCACGAGCTGCCCGTTATACAACCTTGACCACCCATTTCGACCCGATCATCTTTCATGCACCCGGCCGACCAGTGATCCTCTGAGCAACGTGAACCCGAGCGATCCATGCGCGCAGCTGGGTTTTGATCACAAGCACCCACCCACCTCCATTCACCCGAGCAGCCGACCATCGCCCAGAAACCTGTTGATCTGAGCATCAACTTCCGCCTGAGCATGAACTCTGTCTTCGTGACGGTTTTAGATCGGCTGAAACGAAGGCCAGGGAGCTTTAACAAAGGCCAGAAAGAATCGGCCTGAGGCTGTGAAGTGTGGCTTGGGGAGGGCGAGAAGTGGTGTTTTGGGATTGGCTGAGGTGGCTGGCAGAGGTCATTGAGGAAAGCGCAGAACCAGGAGAATTTATTTCGCCCAAAGAAATGAAATATTGGCAAGCCAAGCAGAGATCATTGAGGTGTCCTGGATTTTCAATCCTAAAGAGGATAATTCAAGAGACTAAGCTTGCGCCTTATCCTAAGCCCAAGCCTAATCCTAAGCCAAGCCCAAGCTTAAGCCCAAGCCTTCAAGCGAATCGTAACCCAGGCCTAAGCCTAAGCCAAAACCTAGGCCTAAGCCTAACCACAGGACGAAGCCTAAGCCTAAACCAAGCCCTAAGCCCAAGCCTATGTCCCACGACGCCTAATCTTAAACCGCAGTCCATCAATGACTCATTTGCATCATTACCCTGTTTTCGCGCCGAACTTGTTGATCTTCCCCCTCCTCCCAAACCGTCCTTTCCGATCTTTGGCGCCATGACAAACTTGTACCCGCATAAAGACCAAGAAATGATGGTGGTGTGGATAGGGGTAAGACGATCCCAAACTAGCGTCAGTTTGCTAAACAGCAGATGTTTGCTGATATCCGGTGGTGGCTAGACTTTTGCTGGGGGTTGAATGGCTTGCAGAGGGTGGAGGCATTCCATTTCTGAACAAAAACCGAGCAGGGTGGAGGGTGATCGGTGCAAAGCTCACAATCAGGCTCCCCGCAATGGCTCGTGCTCCATCTCTCTCTCTCTCTCTCTCTCTCTCTCTCTCCCCCTCTCTCTCCAGCCATGACCAAATTGGCCGAACAGGGTCGATTTTGGCGAATGGCTGGGGAGGGCTCGAGGCGCGGTATCCGATTCTCTTGTTGATTTTCTATAGTTCATCCGCAAGATCACCCTCTTTTTGGGGGTGCCAACACCTTTCCTGAAATTCCTCCACCCCTCCTGCACCTGAGGATTTCTATAAAAACCCAAACGTTCTGCACTTTGAGTCATCCCGAGCCTTGGCTTTGTTGGAGCTCGAGCTTTCCGATTAAAGGTTGAGAGTGAACTCGTTCCCGTTTAACCAGGATATCTCTAGAAGACTGTTCAAAGCCTAATTTCTCGTTGTGCTTTGCTTGCTTGGTTTCGCCTAGTTCTGGACCTAAATATAAGTCGAAACTCTTGCCTAAGCTTTAGCCCGACTTCGGCCAAAGACGAAGCCTAAGCCTAAGCCTGAGTCTAACTGAACATGATCTGAACTTTTACCTTTTCCGTTTTAATGCTGTTCTCCCATAAATCATTTTCATGGATCCCCTATGATTCTAAATTTTTATCTACAATTTTTCTTCAATTTGTAGCTTAAGCCTAAGTAAGCCTAAGCCTGAGATTGAAGCTAAGATAAGGCCCCAAGCCAAAGCCTAGGCCTAAGCCAGCCCCGCCCCCCCCCCCCCCCCCCCCCCCCCCCAAAAGCGGGGAAACCCGGCGGGGGACTGCTCCTAAACCCAAGCCACCTAAGCCTAACCCTAAACCAAGCCTAAGCCTAGACAGCCTAAGCCTAAGCCTAAGCCTATACCTAGCAAGCCTAAGCCTAAGCCTAAGCCTAAGCCTAAGCTTAAGTAATAGCCAATCCAGGGGCGATAGCGAAGCCTAAACCTAGCGAAACCCAAGCCCAAAAATAGTTGATCCAGGAAAAACACGCTTTATGCCATTTTCTAGCCACTCAAAACGGCCCTCCTCCCTCTGATTTTCCACGTGGAGGTGTCGTGTATGCATGTCGGTTTGTCTGTTTGGCTGTCGATGACCATTTGTATGTGTCTCTTTTTGACTAGAGAATAGCGAGAGAACGAGAGAGAGAGAGCGAGAGAGAGAGAGAGAGACGCGGCCTCAAAACGTTGGCCGGCTCGAGAAGAGGCTCGATCGACCCGGTTCCTCCGTCGTTTTTTGCCGGGCCGTTTCCCCCTCTTTTCCGTTCCGCTCTTATCCACGGGTTTCCCCGCATTGCCTCGTGCCTCTCCACAACACTCCGCAACACTCCTCCCCCTCCTTTTTCCCCATTTTCCCTTCCCATTTGGGTCCGTTCACACCGGGGAGGGAGGGGGCCGTTCCCGTACTTTTGGGCCCTTCAATCGGGGGCCCATGCCTGGGCCGGTTCGGGGGATTCTTTGCTCTCTGTCTCTCGCTGATATCTCTGTCTCTCTCGCTGCTGTCTCTCGCTTTTCCGGATTCCAGGCGGTATGGGGGTGTTGATTTCATTTGAAAAAGAAGTTAATCCTACCTTTCCAGCTACCAATTTTTGTTTCAGTTTTTTCATATTTTATTCAACGTTTTTAAACCTAAGCCAAGGCTAAGCTAAGCGGAGCCCAATCTGAGCCTGAGCCAAGCCTGAGCCAAGGCTAAGCCTAAGCCTAAGCCTAAGCCTAAGCCTAAGCCTAAGCCTAAGCCTAAGCCTAAGCCAAGGCTAATCTTAAGCCCATGCTTTACACCAACTAAGCTGCCAGATCTGAGCCTGAATTACCATTTTCCCGCCCAAAATCCTTCATTTTTACATTTTCCTTTCCCGCCTAACCATACGGCGCACTCACTATATAATTTTACCGTACACCCCTAATTCCCCCTGCCACTCACCATATAATTTTCTTTCCAAATTGCCCTCAAATCTGCGTGCCGGGACAAGGGTTGTGCCCCAAAATTCAGCATCGAAGTCATGCCATAATTAGGTGATGCATAGCGAATTTAGTACTTGGGTTTTTCGGGTGGCTTGAATATATTTTGGGACGGTTTAAAAGGGGAACAAAATTATATATATTTTATATTTTTTTTTTTTAAACCCTTATTTAAAAAAAAACCCACCAACAAAAAAAAAAACCAAAAGCAATTCCCCCACTCCATTAAAATTTTAAAGGGACTCGGAAAGCTCAGAATATACTCCTTCGATCAACTGGGGTTCCAGACAACACTACCGATAGTCCGAAAGCCGCGTTTTCTCCAGTCTTTCTAATCCGAATTTCGAGCTTGTAAGGTAATTTGCCTACGTCCTTAGGCCGGACGTATCTGTCAAACCTAGTCGCCAGAAAGGGCTGACTCATGCCGGCCCCTAAACAGAAAATCATGGCCTCAAAGCGTGATTCCTCAACGTTCTCTGCTCGTTCCCGCTTCCTGACTTCATAATATTTTGATGTCAGTATTCTTTACTCCCCGACCAAAGCACCCCACCTCATTTCAATTCCACTATCCCTGCCCGAGTTTTTTCTGACTGTTATTTTATTAGTGACCCAGAAGAAGGGGGTTTCGCTTTCGCTTTCGCTTGTTAGTCGGGCTGCCCGTTCCCTTCCTCGTTTCCATTCCCTCTCTTCCTCTTCCTCCCCTTTCCTGGCTAATCCAATTTTCGCGATAATTCCGCTCCCGACCTCCGGACGGCCTTCCCCCCTCCCTTCCATCGGCTCTTCCACCCCTGATTCTCCTTTTCCAGCAGAAACATTCACGAAAAAGAACGAGTTCTGGGGTTGAGGGCTTTTCCTGGGGGTTCGGAAGATGGAAAATTCGAGGAAATCATAATATCTCTCTGGCCCTCGCTTTCTTCCTCTCTTTCTCTCTCTCTCTCTCTCTCGCTCTCTCTCGCTCTCTCTTTCTCTCTATCTCTAACTACCTACTTCAATATTGATTTTCTGTTATTGCAGAGAATCTCCGGGTCCGCAAGTTTCCACCTTTTTAAAGGGACATTTTCATACCTGCAAAATTCGTACTTTCTCCTTCCGCAAAGATATACAGACCCGGCGGATGGTAGGCGTCGGTTCTCAAAATTCCCAGTCATTTTAAAAGCCCTCGCCCGACATTTAAGCTCTGCCAGCTAAGTCTCTGCCTCTTCTAGCCGCAATCATAACCCTGTAATTTTCAGCCCTCAGAACCAATAATTTCCGCTTTTTCTACAAAATCGGTGCTATTTCGGGGCCTAATAAAAGGTACCCAAGAACAAAAGCTAAGCCCACCTGGTGAGTTGGCATTTCAGAACTCGGGTTTCATTTCATTTTCAGCTGAGTTTCGATGGCACGTGACTTCTTCAGTTTCACCGTGCTTTGGCCTTGGTTTAGGCTTGGACTTGGGCTCAGGTTCAGACTTAGGCTTAGGCTTAGCCAAAGCCTTATGCTTAGGGTTAAGCTCACGCTTAGATCTAGGCTTAAGTTTAAGGAGAACATGCTATTGTACAAAAAAAATCATTACTGTGTTTTCGAAAAACTTGATTTGCTGCAGTTTGAGTGTGCGGATTTCGCAAAATTCCGTGACGATACTCTTAACCCCTTCTTTGCAAGGCCATTCCACCATACCTTTTAAGCCGAAAACTTTTTGTTTTCCAATCTCACTTATTGCAAAATTACTTGAGAACCGTTTACCTTTTTACACGGTATTTACCAACTGACTCATTCAATGAGAATGCGGAAATCCGGGGCCAGGGATTAGACGTGGGAAGTCTAAACCAGCAAGGGTACGGTGACCCTACTTCTCCATTGGCTACGCGCAATTTTGCCGCATTTGCAGGCGCGCATTAGAATTGGTCTAAAAATCGCGGAGTGAACAAGAAGTACGCTACAGTGTAGTCAACGTCCACTTTTTGGCCAGGTCTTTCTTGGTACATCCGGAATTAAATCTGAAATTTAAGGCCGGACTTTAGAAAGCTCAAGTTTGGGTTTTGCGCTACTTTTAAGCAGCCTATGTCGAAAAAGGAGCCGTTTCAGGCTGTTGACATTTTGCTATGTGACATAACTCTTTCGATGGAGCTACAAATGCTGAACAAATAGTATCTTTCAAAAATCGCTGAACGGCTACCGAACTGGAAAAAGTCTGATCTAAAGTGGACGATTCTCATTTTTGGCAACCGCTTAACAAAATGTAAACTTTGAGAAACCGTTTGTTTCTGAGTACTTTTTGAAGAAGTACATTTATTCACAATTTCATGCTCTATCGAATGAGGCATCGCACATCGTAAAATTTGAAGTACTTAACCCTACTACAGACGCTTGTAAGCGGAAGCCTAAATTTGAAAAAGCGTAAACCCGACCCCTAGCAGAAGAAAGAAAGAAAAAGAAAAGCTCAACCCTCCGGACGCTGCTTTCATAACCGGTAATTTTTTAATTCCGCTTCCGGAAGGGTGGTCGAGTTTCGTGTTTCACGTTTCCTTTTGTGACGACCTTTCGGAACCAAAAATCGGAAGTCCGTGCGCTTAAATTTGTTCGTTTAGCGTCTGCTCAAAATTTTGCAAACCCAAAATATTCGAAAGTATCTCCATCGAATTTTGCCCTGTATTTTTCTCCGCGCTGCCAATCGTTTCCCCCTCCCCCCAGCCCGCCTCCCCTGTATTCCCATAGCTATCTCCGCATTTCGGCAAATAAACGGCAGGGTTTATCGCCTGGTTGGGCCGCGTGTGCCCCGGCTGCCCACCACCACCCGGTGGCCCGCAATCAGCTCGCGATTCTTTTCAGCCGTCCTTTTTTGGGGCTGCGGGCTTTTGTCTTGGGCACAGTCTAGTGTCTTGTCTTGGGTTGAGGGGGTCGAAAAGTACGGACGGGTGATATTGACGGAATTACGGCTAGGTAATTGAAATTTGGCGTGGGCCGGTTTTGCGGGGCCCCGATTTCCGTGTTCGTTTCCCATTGGAAAATTAGGATTTGGAGGAGCATACTGCTCCCAAATTAATGTGAGGATACCCCTAAATAATTTTTCCTATTGATAAGTCACACGGAAGTAACTTTTTAGAGGAGCAAATTTTCATTGTTTGTCCTTTCCATTTTTGCCAGATTCAGTTTTAAGCCTAACCGTGTTCTTAAGCCGAGCTAAGCCCAAGCTTAACTCCAAACCAAGCCTAGGCCTTAGCATAAGCAAAGCCTCCCTCAACGCTAAACGAAATCTAAGCCTAAGCCACGCTTAAGTCATACCGAAGCCAAATCAAACGATGCCAAGCCTAAACCTACACTCTAGCCTAAGCCTCAGCCTAACCCAACCTCCTGTTTTATCCTTGAAAAAAGCTACCTTCCTAGCTGCGCATCCTATTTTGTACTCTTCCAACCTGTCGCCCACTACCGTAACCTTCCTTTGATGACGGCCATCAATCACCCACCCCGATTGCGCGCATTCCAATCTTTTTGGTTTTCCCCAACTACCGTATCCCTTTGGGGAGCCCTTTTAAACGAGAGAGCCATGTTTGGATCACTTGAAATGGAGCGGATAATTGGCTACCGTATCCTGGATCCCAATTTTAATTCACGGATACCCTACCCTCCATTTACAATTTTCCTACCATCCGTTTTTGTAGTCATAAAACTATCCCCCACCATCCCATAAACAACTACAAGAAAACATTAATTAACGCCGGGATTTGACCGGATGGGACCGGTGTCGTGGGGTTCTCAATTCCGGGATAATCCGCCTGAACATTTGCAGGGTGCTGGGTGGTGCGGGGGCCCCCGAGGTGTTCCTTGTTTTCTAAATGTTGCCCACGCCTACCCGGGGAGTATTAAAGGGGTTTGAGCTGAGATTCGCCCCGAGGGGAACTCCAATTTGGCGATGGTGAGGGTAAAAGGTGTTGTGGCGATGGGAGGACCACGCTGTGAAATTTGCTATTTCTGCGTCGAGCCCTGGAGATCAAATTTAATGAAAATTTAAGAGGAATTTGAGCGTGGGATTTTTAAAAATCCTCACGCTAGCGCATTAAATTGCATTTATCGAAGATTCGAATCAGGACATTTTAGAACAGCTTCGAATTTTCGCGCTTCATGGCTTTTTTGCGCCAGCTTAATTTTTACTAGTTTTCGCTAGGATACATATTGGTTCACGTCCTCTATGACTTAAAAGTAACGCCGGAGCCCTATACTCTCTTTTCTAATTTTTTTCTTACAGTCCAGGTGTTTCCGACGAGTTCACTTCCGCCACACTCATTCTCCTGATTTTTTGAGCTTGCCTAGCTTTTGAATAAAGTAATTTGCTGATAGCTTTTTCATTTGTTGTACTCAATTTTAGATGCGAAGGTGACCTTAAATATGCTATTTTTTTTCAGGGTCCCCCTCGGCTTGCGGGATAAGCCCTAGCATTCGATCAGCAACTTGAAATGATGAATAATCACATCCAAACCTCGCTCGACTACAGGCCGACTGGTAAGTTTGAAACGTATGGTATTGCTCTCTCTCTCTCTCTCTCTCTCTCTCTCTCTCCCTCTCTCTCTCTCTAAATGTCTTTTTCTAGTAGAAGGCCGCGCAGGAATCTGTCAAGTCTGCGGTGACCACGCCACCGGGAAGCACTACGGCATCTGGGCCTGTTATGGGTAGGTTTTTTAATCCGCCCAATTGAGTCTGCAAATCCATCGAAACTTTTGATTTTTCAGCTGCAAAGGCTTCTTCCGGCGTACGATCACCGCCGGCCGACGGTACAACTGCCGATTTGATGACTCGTGCAAAATTGATAAGAGTGGGTCGTTTGGAGCGATAGATTCCTTCGGAAAACCGATTTTCGGGTTAGGGTCAACTGGGGCAGATAGGCGAGTTGAAAAAGTAGTAAAGGCAACTCGGGGGAAAGCTTGATGGAAAGATATTCGAAAGTTTCATACCGCAATCAGGTGGAACTGATTTTTTGGCTAATGCTCTTCTCGACAATCGGGTTTTCAATGTTAAAATGCAAATATTTTGCTTTTTCTGTAATTTTCATTTACTAGTAATTGTTTCCTGTTCTCCAGGGTCAGAGCAACATTTTGGTATACTTTACAGCTCTGTAGCTACGAAGAGAACCGAGATACAGACTCAAACTTATCGGGACAGGGGAGTGAGACTCATATCTTGGAAAGATTCTGGCAAACTAGTAGAAGCTTGAAAAAAACTACATAAATATACCTATGCAACGCTGTACCTCTATAAAAATTCTCTTCCAGACCAACGCAACGGATGTCGGCATTGTCGTTTCCAACTCTGCATCCGGCAAGGCATGGCCCCCGATGGTCTGTTTTTCAATGTTCAGCCACTTCTCTGTCTTCTGGTTAATTTTTCCCCACTCTCAAGCGTCCTTGGCGTACTTTGCCTCCCCCAATGCTGGATTGGCGACCGCTCTACCGTAGCCAAGAGCTGAGCCCGTTTTTTAATTTCGTTTGGCTTTGCCATCATCCCTGCCACGGGATAACCCGCTTATCTGAGCACCAAAGAAAAGACGATCCTAGATCCGATGCAACGAATAAAAATGCAACCCCCAGAAATCCGGAGATGATATTTGCCATTTTCAATCTTGGGGGTTGGGTGTGAACAAGCGTGGTCGTTGAGCCTTGTAATCCGGATACTGGGGCACAGTTCCGCCCCAAAAACCCGGATTCATTGGAAAATGGAAGGTTCTTCAGCCATTCGACCGGATCGAGACCTGATTGGAAGGCAGAGGAATCCGCGTAGGAATAGACGAGCCGACGAGGCACTCCCGGAACCAGCAGACGATAAAACGTGAGTTGGGGTTTCGGCTTCGAATTCGGGGATCTGTTTTTTCTGCTTAACTTCTCGAAAAAACTAATGGTAGCTAAAGCCCAATAAGACATCTTCAAATTGGATACTTTGCAATGTCATGACCTCCCTATCTTTTAGTGACATGCATTACGCCGTGCTAATCCAAAGGCTTCTGAGCTGTGATCAGAATGCGAAACTGTCAAACGATGCTCCCTTCCCTTTCCACCCTGAACAGGTAAGGCTTTCCGAAAAACAACAACGAGACCGTAAATCAATTTGACCCATTCGGAGTTAAAAACCACTTCCAGGACCTCGTCACCCTTGGCGACCTGTTCGACCCACCGTACCCGATGACGGCCGCGTGGAGTCAGGTGAGTATATTTTTTCAATAAAGTTTAAAAATTTCTGATGCGAAAGCTAAGAAAATGTCGAGAGTTGGATACTTTACATCAATCTGCCAATTCATTCTGGCATACGACTTTAAAGTATCTATTTAGCCACTAACCCCAACGACCAACCAGTTCGCCAGCATGGACGATACCTTCGCCGGCTTCAGGAGGTAGTAGCTTTGAAATTATAATTTTTCTGGATATAGCCTGTCACACCTTACAAGTTAATAACGTGATCTAGATGCCTGCAAAAATCCGTCTTCTGGATCAACCGCATCGGCGACATGATCCCCGGAATCCAGCGTCGTGAAAAAGTTGAACTGCTAAAAAACGCTTTCCATGGCTTTGCGTTGTGGCAGATCTGTGTGGAATCGTATAGAGTAAGTCACTAAACTCAGGCTAAATTATTACGTCTTTTTCAGCTGAACATGCCAAACCAAGTAGCACTATGCAACAACAAGTCCTTGTCACTACCACTGAACTGGAATTCGTGCCCTCGTTCGCCATTCGCGGTACCCGACGATCCGAAGAGTTCCCCTCCAAGTACTTGGGGGTAAGAACGTTATGAAATTGCATCTAACCTATCACTTTTAAGGCCGATGTTCGAGGGTGTGTGCTGGAGGATGATAAATGAGATCATCGAGCCGCTACATCGTGTCAGACCCAGTGAAGAGGAAGCGGCGCTCGTTTGTGCGATCATCATCCTTGAGAATCGTAAGTGATAGAATGATGCCTTTCAGATATTAGCAAAAGCAAAATTGTGAGCTTGAATCCGCACGGCGAGCGCACATTGTGGCTGTGGTTAGGCGTAGTATCACGAGTTGAATCTGATCATCAATCAATTTCCCATTTTCAGCCACTTTCACGCTACGTCCCGAGACAAGAACGGTCATCGAGCAGCTAAAGGACCGTTTGAGCTGCTCGCTAATGTATTCGATTCGGCGCGGCGGTTGCGAAGATGTTGAGGACGTCCAGAGATTCAGTCACATCCTCAACCTGTTGCCGGCCGTTGCTGTAAGTCTTGAAGTTTTTCTTGTTTTTTCGCGACAATTGACTCCTTATTATAATTTTCAAGATTAAACTAATTAGTCTTTTTTTCAGCGCGTCAGCTGCAACCTATCCGATTGCCTCAATTTGTCGCGAGTTTTCAATCAACTCCAAGAGCCGCTGCTCCGACGCTTCTACGATATTTTGGCCAGCGGAGATAATGAGGTATGTTTTGACAATTCTCCCTGTATTTACTTGCTTTCCTCGATTTTTTAAAAACTCGGTTTCAGAATTGTCTCCGTCTAACCGACAAAGATTTCGCTGATGTCGTCGCGACACTTTGCGACAAATCGCTATAAGAAATCCCTCCATATATTCCCTATCTACGAGTTCCCGCCCGGTTTTTTAGCGTTTTCGTTTTACAAAGAACTCTTACGGTTCAGTCCTTTGATCTCATTTTTCATTTTCAAATCTGTACTTTTGGTTTTGCCGGTGTGTTATGTTTTTTGTAGTGTTTTTGAATGAAGGTGGTTTGGAAGACTTTTAAAAAGCGGTAGCTCAGTTTGCACTTCCAAACAGCTTCATGTATACCTTTGTATTTCCACTGACGGCTATCCTAGTTTGGGTAGAAACAGCGCGACCCGTTGGCGATTTGTCAATAGTATAATTGGTAGAATTTATTCTGGCTTTTATTGTAAAATACGGCCCCTTGAAAATACCGGTGACAGAGATGACGATGATTCTGTCCGCATGTGATTCTTCCCCGTTAGCTAAGACGCGTCCGCCCCCGTTATGCAACGATGATTCTTGAGCATTGCTACTACCTCCTCGCACCTAACAAGTCAGGGGTGTTGTCCACTATGTATACCTTCGAATCCCGGGAATAAATATTTCAATTTGAGCGAGAAAGGGGACAGTGCAAGACAAAACAATTTATACAGACACCGAAATGAATTCACTGCGTCATAAGTCTTGCAGTTCGCGGATGACAGCCATCGCGATTTTGTGGTGCACGAAGGTGGATGGGTGCCACAGATCGTGATAGGCGTAGTTGTAGATGGAGCGAGTTCTGGAAGGTATGTTTTGCTTGCTTATATATCCCTGAAGCCTGGTTGTAACGGCTTCGTACGATAGCTTATGTCTTCCACCGTATGGATCTTCGTGCGTTTTTTTTTTAAAAATGCTTCTGCTTCCCGAAAATGTATACTAAATTTTCCTAGGGCTCTGACAACAACTCGATCGAATCCTAAGATTGGCTACGCATTTTCCTACCCCGTATCCTTAGCATGATGTGTAAACGGCTCGGTTGTGTTCAGATCCGTTTGCGCGCGCACCACTACTCCGTTCAAGTCGAGCACCCTAAAATTCTTGTTGATCTACCGCCACTGGCAAATTCAAAAAGGGCCACCAGCCCGGATTAATTCTGTAGGCCGGAAGGACCCACCGGACCGTAATCCCGGGGGCCTTTCTTTTCAGGCCCAGTTCGCTGTCGTAGACCAGGTGGGTGAGTTGCTGAAAAATAAGTTATAGAAGAGGTAGAGCGAAGTATACCGTGTTTGCCTCGCCGACCATTGCTCCAATCTTTCGTTGCAGTGTTTGGGTGTCTTCTGCGGCCAGAACGCCAGGTGCGGAACTTTGATCGACAATGTTTAGGACTACTAGGGTTCCGGAGGTCATTGTCTAAAAATTGAGGTGTGGGGTGAGAGGAGAGAGAGAGAGAGAGAGAGAGAGAGAGCAGAGAGAGAGAGGAGAGACCGAGAGAGGGAGAGAAAAATAGAAAGATAGCTGACCTTTAGTAACATATTCAGAGCTTCATGGATATTCTCAACCACGTCGTTAGTCTTGTTACTTCCGGTGAAGAAATCGATGGCGCCACCCGATTGAAAAACGACGAGCGCGTCTTAAATTAAAACTTTTCAATATTTTGCAGTATTTTAGGGCTTTTCTTTCACACCCACTTGACGGGATCACCGGATGCGTATCCACAAATCGCTCCACTTGCCACAACAGCCCACTCCAATTTGCAAAGTAAAAATTGTCCATCCCACTCTTCGCACCGGAGAACGCGTAATTGACGTACTACAAAGACGTCAGGCAGACTAGATAAATAATACCCGATCACAGCCCAGCATTTTCTGAACGTATTCCGGCCAAACAGGGCCGTTGCTCGTTCTTTCGAAGCTGTAATTAGGCGTTTGCGCACGTTGCGTACATTAATTATACCCATAAGATTCATCTCCAACTTCTACGCCATCATCGGAGAGCGAGTCTCCAAAGACGAAAAATGAGCCGCAGGAGAAGTCGTGGGGCTGGAAAGCGAGGGTAGCTTAATTGTTTTGGTAGTGTCAGCATTTTTCTAACTAACTCTTTTGTTTCTGTTAAAAATTGCTGTTTTTATCATGATACCTTTTTCGTACTAGCGGTATATCTTAAAATATCAGTATATTTTAATGGCTTTCATTACCTTATGCAAAATCCGGGCAACAGCTACCGCCGATGTCAAAAGTATCAAAAACGGTAGTCTTTGCATTACAGTAGTTATTTCGACTGAAAAATTTAATGATAGCCTCAGGTACAGGTGGAATAGAACTGCGCTGAATTTCCAGGACTGACCCGCTGAAGCTGGGCCCTGGAGCCATATCCGGGATCCACCCAGGGGCAGCTGGGTCAACGATGAGCCCCCGAGGCACAATGGTCCCTTTACCCTTAGTGTCTGGCTGTCGATGACCATCGGATCGTTTCTCTCTCTCTCACTCTCTCTCTCACTCTCTCTCACTCTCACTCTCTCTCACCCACTCTCTTTCCCTCTCTCCCCCTCTCTCTCTTTCTCTCTCACTCTCACTCTCTCTCTATCCCTCTCTCTCGCTCTGTCTGCAAATAATACATTGTCGGAGCCGCGAAACATGGGGGTTGATGTTGATGAAATGAAGGAAGCTTTGTGAAGTGGATCAGAAAAACGGCTTTGTTGCAAAGAGCCATGTTTTGGGAAGCGGAACGTAGTGGCAGGTACTAGAACATAGTAAGTTAGGATATACATAAAATAATGTATGAAAGATGAGGTTTGTATGAAATTTCGTGGGATACATTGTGTGTATGCATAAAAACACAATGTGGCAGTTTTACATTTTTTGATCCCACCCCTTTTGAATCAAAACCGCGTCTTTTTCTAATTTGCAATTTGTGTGAAAAAATGTACTTTAATTACAAAATACGTAATTTTGGTGCCAAACCTTGTATTAAACACTTTTTTATTGTGGATATAAACATAGATACAAAACGCAAATAACAAGGCTTTTCGGGGTCGTAACCATTTCATTATGGACTTTAACGTATTATAATGTTTTTAATCTCTTTAACCTTCTAAAATTGGCCCGAATACCTCCACTCCTCTCCCCGCGATGGCCTCGGGTAGTACCCCCCGACCCAGCTCTCTGTGCGCTCCATGGATGCTCCCTGCCCCCACCCCAATCTTCCCCATCTGGCCCACCCACCCTACGAATGAACGGTCCCCCCACGCCACAGATACCTCTGGTTCGTGTGCATTTGACCGAGAAAATCTTTCGCCTTTTACTAAAGATTTCCGTGCACACGAACAATTATGAGTATACTCAAATTTTTGGAGCCCCCTCGCGAGAGCGGGGCAAAAATTGTGCAAAATGAAAAAGGGGAATCGCGAAGGTTATAAAATCCTTCTACAAGTAACCTCTCAAGTAATGTTATAAAAGGAACCTTTATACGTCAGTAAAAATTACGTCATAATCCCTCGGTAAAATTAGCGCTTGTGCCGGAATTTTGAATCTTCGAAGACGGAGCTTTCCAACAGATGGTTTTGGATGAAAATAAAGTATACCTTTAAAGATTCTAGGTAATTACAAATTGACAAAATGAAATACACATTAAAAAATCGCAATCACGACTGAGTAACATTAAAATATCTTCTATTCGCTTTGTTAAGAGTTACGCTAATCTTTGCTACGCGGCTACGCTAAAAATATGCGCTATTCGATTGAAATGTATGAAAAATATTGTTTTGGCAGCTATTACATATTGTATTTATCTTTTTCAAACATTTTGTTTGGAAAAGGCATTGCGAATATATTTATATTTACAACACTTGGGATTTCGCATGTGTTCGTACCACAAGAAGTCCACGGATTTCCCCGACGACATCGCGCGTCATTTTTCAACACAACACCCGCCGAGATTTCTTTGCGAGTATCCGGTGTGATGTCGTGTTGTGGCTGTGTCTGTGTGCTACTGTGTGCGTCTCTCAATTCTACTCGATCCCTTCACCTTTTCTAGCTGCCCGCCGCCATCCCATCGATTCTTCTCCTTCCTCTTCGGCTTCTCTTCTTCTCGGGTTTTTCAGGGGGAGGGCTTCTATTCCCCGGGGACGCGAACTCCCGGCCAATCTTCAACTCAACGGGGTTGAAAGCCGTACTAACCTCATCATCGCTTGGGTCATAGCATTTTTAGTGTTTTTTTTTTGGTAGGGTTTGAATTTCAGGGGTTCTCTTCTTGGAAAGTTTGTCTAGTGACAGGTGTTCAACAGGGGATTCGTTTCGGGTTTTTTGCCTGGTTTGTCATTCCTCGTCTATTAAAAAAATTTGGTGTTGTAATACTAATAATTAAGCTTTTGTCAATGAGGCTTAGATATACGTGGTTATGTAATGATGAAGATTAGGTTTGCAAACTCTTTATATTGTTTTCTTTTGCTGGGCTTGCTGTTCTCGTCAAATTAGCGTTGTAATACTAATGCTATTATATTTTTCTAGATGGTGCAGGCGATACTTTTTCAGGTTTCCATAAACTCCAGGTATAACCATATTTTATAGCGGATTAAAGGGCAACGAAAACATACTAGATTAACGTCAACTAACCCAGGTTTTTGATGGCATTTTCGGCGGATTTCCGGTCGACACTTGGGGACATTTGAAGCCCAGAAATCGCGGCGTTTTATAATTTTTATGGCAAAAATAGACACCTTTATCGTATCTAACAAGAAATGCTTTTTTCGAAGTTCGTGGACGCCAGTTTTCTGCTTTAAGAACGTCAATGTAGCGATTTCGCGCAAACAAACTACCTAGCATTTTTCAACATTTGAATTTTTATCTGATGACATTATTCTTAGGGCGTTTTCCCGATGCATATCTCATGAAAATATGGTGGTTCTTAACAATACCCCTAAGAAATTTCCTACATTTCTCGCGCCAAATCCCCGTCTCCTTTCAAGGTCTGGGGTTGGGCAAAACTTTCGTGCCGTTCCCCGGCACCCATTTTCTTGTGGTTGATTTATGGGGTTGGTGGCAAGGGGGTGAAGGGTCCTGCCGGCCGGACCTGCGAAGCCATCGGCTGTTCCCCGGCCAAAATGCTATGCTTTTGGGTTGCGGCCAGGCTTCATGCTGTAACAGCTCTCTGTTGCCCCGCGCTGTCGACCATCGCTCCTTGATCTCGACCCTTTTTGCGATGATCTATCGCACCTCGGGGAGGGTGGGGATTTTGTCGATAAAGCCGGGGTTTGATGGGCCTAATTTTTCGGGTATAAGCGTTTTAATACAGGCACCAGATACCTGACCTTAACCATGTCCTAGCGTTACGTCACTTTCTATGTTTGGTATTTGGTTTTCTATGTCCTCAAAAAACTTGCGGCTCTTCTTCAAACCTTTCTATAACTTTTGCTTCACGTATCCACTCTCATTTTCGAAGCTTCGTAAGCTCTTAAAAACTGTAGCGGATTTTCAAAAATGGGTTTTTTTCAATTTTTTCAATCATTTCCAAAAGGAAACTGGAGAGCTGGACGCTTCATTTTCGTCATTCTAGGGCTTAAACGCAATCCTCCCAAAAAAAGCTCGGCCTCACACGCAAACAATGGCCCCTACTTGCCGCTCCTCGAAACCCCAGGAATCCTCTTCGGAGCCCCAGTTTTTCATGGTATTTCTCTACGCATCGGATCCATTTTATGATTTTGCCTATTGTCGCCGCGGTCGATCCATTTTCTCGGCGTGGGAAAGCGTAATCCGGTGTTGACGGGGCTTCGTGGTTGAACAATGCATTCGAATAATTCTGATGAATTTTCTATTTTGGTTACAAGCTACTTTGGTTTTTATAAGGTTAAGACGAGTTTAGGTCTTTTCTGAAAAAATGGACGAAGTGCTGCTTCTAAGTTCACGGTAATCCGCTCGCACATAATCCGCAAGGGCATAGGAAAGTCGCGTAGCGCAAGCTTGACTACGCAGGGATACTTTGAACACTGCAATTATGTGCGTTCTATGCATCTATTCGCTATCTGCAGCTCAAACTGATTGCGAGACTTAATCGAAAGCTAATCGAGTCGAAACCTAAGCATATTCAGGTGAGAAATCTTGGTCCAAACCTTAAGATTCCACCGCCCCTAAATCATCAGAAAGTGATCCACCCCGTGTAGCTTTCCTCGTAAACCAACCCTGTCTCTCTAATTGGCTGTTTGGTGCCTGCAGTCGTCTCGTTTTGCCATGACTTCCCGCCGTGAAGCAGCAACATCCGATCCACATTCGGAGCAGTGAAGTGCTTGGGGAAAAGGGATCCACTTTAGGCCGGCTGGCTGCATGCCAGTGGAAGTCCGGTTCTTCATCTTGTTCTCTCTCTCTTTGGTATGCAATACTCGGGATGGATACCAGGGTTGGGGGATCGTTCGATTTTCGCGCCTTTCCCCACTGGATGTCTTGTCATGACTCTCCTTTTGCCAACCACACCCCTCCCGGGTTGTGGTGATGTCTAAAAAAGTGGGTGGATCATGTTTTTGGGTACGATAGTTACTAATTACGTTGGCTAACTGAATGCTCATACTTTGGCTGCAGAGTTCTAATACACAACGGTTGAATTGAATTGAAAACATGTCGAAAAACTTAGATTCTTGCCTTTAAAAAGGTTTCCACTAAATACCTCAATATGGAGTCAATTTTTTCCGCTTGAAAATAAGATTTTCATTACAGCCAGCTCTAATGATTTGCTTTGGAATGACTATAAGCGGAACTAAAATTACCTCAATTCTATATTTCAAAAATAAAGCGATTGAACCGATTATCTTAATCATAGTTTAAATGCTTCAACTCGAATTAAATGGCTGGATTTGGAGATGAGTTAATGCTACATTTTTATCATATAATCGATATTTAGTTCTTTTTCGGCTTCGCTAATGATAAAATTCTAGCTTTTCTGTTAATGACAAAAAACTAGTAAACTTTTCGATCTTCACACAAATAGATGTTGTAAAAATTTAATTCACTATTAAACCTACCTTTTATTCTATATTCAATTATCTAATAACAAATCTAATCAAATCAAATCTAATACCCGCTCTAAATCTATACAAATAGATTTGTCACCATCCGGATTACGGCCATAAATATCCAATTTTTTTTCTCGACTACACAACTGTTCAATTTGTTGAGTCAGCTGGTCAGTCCCAATGGCCGGCAAGCCTCCTAAAAAGTGCCTTTTCTCGGATCACTACCCACCCGCATTTTTCTTGCGGTCCCTGATTCATCCACC